AGATGGTCACACTTACAAATCATGGGTGTACTACAAGCTAGCAATAAAAGCTGATTAACTACAAAAGCCTTATTTTCAGGAGTTTCATTTCACACTCAACAACAGTCATCTGATTTTGCTTCGTGTGTGTTTGAAGGAATTTACCAGACTAGAGAGAAAAATAAAAAACCTCGTCACATATCTTTAGGAAATACTTATCACGTACATTGAGCTTGATCTAAATTTTGGAAAAAGTTGGATGTATTTTACCATAAACAGAAATACATATCAAATTCTGCAATACCTTGATATTCCTCCATATCATCTGGTAATCAGGTTCGGTAATGTTACTGAAATGAGCAAAACAACCTATAGAAGTAATTTATCATTTGTTGAAAAGCACATTGCGTGTGGAACAGTGATCAACCTTGGTTTGAGTTAGGCACGTTCAACAATAGGACTGAGTTCTCATTGGCTGACACAGTAACCTTGCCTCGTGATGCCCATAGATGATATAACAATTTTATGACAAGCTTTTTCAATGGTTCACTCAAACTTTTGAAAACGTGAACAAACATGTGAATAATGAATCTTACTCAACTATGACGTCGTTGGTCAATCCGGAAACAGCATTTGTCACACGCGATCAAAAGTTTGACCTGATCACAAACTCGCAGCGACAATAAGGTTGGACGCAAATAACAAAATTAAAAGTAAGAACAAAAATATCAAACTAAAGATAACAACCTTACATTAACGAAAGTGGTTCAAAACTCAAAATATGGCAAGTGGCAACGATTCATATACACTATTTAAGAGATCAATGAGAATCTATCTGCAGAATCATAGTTAAATTCTATGCTAGAGATATAACTTCAAATCGTAATTTTATCAGCAAAGCAGCAAAATATCTTACGTTCATAATTAAACCATCTGCTATAAGTTACAGTTTTTATTTGATGGGGATCTTCTTATAAAAGCTCAGTAGAGCTTGCTAAGATCTCCAGCCATAATATTATAGCTTATTTTAGCAGGCTCATAATTAAAGTTATGTAATGCAATGACAAGTAAAGCAACAACGCCCTGTAAAAAAAAAAAAAAAAAAAAAAAAAAAAAAAAAAAAAAAGCCAAAACCACCAGTGGTACTGCCGGCAGCATCCATGATTTTTTGCGATTTTCACTTAAACAACATTTCAATCCTTGCCACAATGGTCGAAAAACATTTTCTAAAAAAAAATTTGTTTCCGCTTATAAAAGATAGCCTGGCCTGCGTTACAGCCGAACGTGTCACACAATCCCCGGTATAGTCCGTCAAACTGTCTATACCGGCGGTTGAGACTGTCTGCGACGCAGGCTAATTCCTTGTTACTTTCAAAATTTTTCTTTATTGTCGAACACTTCTTTCCAAGGTCAAGTTCCATTTGTATTTTTAAACACGTGTCTTCTCACGCGCACGTTTATGGGGCCATTTTTAAAAATCCATCTGTGAAACATGAGTAGATATAAAACCGTTCCTCACTCTTAAACAGTTCATTATAGTATTTTTATGGTCGGTATGGTTTTCTATCGCACCTTCGCTATTTCTTTTTCTTGCATCAGTGAGAAAATAGTTTAATTTTTTTCTGTAAATTTGAGAGAGCCATACGATTTTGCCATGTTTTCTTTTTCTCGAATAATTAGGGCATGAATCTGAGGTCATCAAAGGGTGACCGGTAATTTCCGCTCTATCCGAGCAGTCCTTTACTGAAAGTCACTCTTAAAAAGCGTGATGCTTCTTATTAAGCAAATGGCTGTTGTTTACACTAAAGATACATTATCCGTCTGGCGAACTTGTGCGAACATTTGAAGTTCTTCTGGTCATGCGTTTCTTGTACAATAACGGGCATAAGGCACATAATGTATCGGGACGAATTATCCTTCGTGGAAGCCTTGCTAAAGATAGTTCGTCTGCTTATGTAATGCCAGTATATGACGAGCAATGAGCTCGTGTTACAAAAGGCCAGGGATTGTTGGCCAAAGTAAACATCACGCTGAGTATTTTTACCCGTTGTTTCTTTTAACTCAGTTACCTTACAGGCTCGTCAAAATGCGGCATAACTCGTGAAAATACTCAGCGATACTACAAAACAAAACGTTTAATAAGATATATACATATATATACATATATATACATATATATATGTATATATATACCTATTCGTATATCCTACGAATTTGAGGTAAAAACACATCAAAAGATTGTCGACCGTAGCTTCAGACATGTAACAAGTGTAATTTGTCAAAAATTTATACAAATAAAAAACTAATAATCTGTCCAATTTTGTAGTATATTGTCTATTTTAAGCCGACAAGGGCCTAATTATCAGATGACCTCATTTTATCAAATTTCAACTCTGGACATTACATTTCTAGTGTTCTGATTTGTTCACTCAACTCCGGTTATCAGCTCATATTCCAAGTAACCTTTAACAAAAATGCTTTGCAACGTGTTGGAAGCTGAAAATTTTCCCTGAAAATATTTAGAGGCTCAAGATTTGATAAACTTTGATAAAAATAAAAAAAAACTAGTATTTCATGTGCTTGTTGGATGCTAGGTTGGGTATTCACCGTCTCTTAACCAACGCGTACTTATGTAATAATTGTTAAATAATTGATAACTAGAAATAGATACCAGAAGAAAACAATATTTTTGTGCGACTTATTGTGCTACTTTATAAGGTGTCTTGTGGAGAGTATGGTTATTAATATTGAAACGAGGAGCCTGCACAACTAACTTGTCTAACTTAAGAGGTGATCTGAAGTAATTTGCATTAAACCATTTTTGTTTACCATAGCTACGCGGAAAGAGATCAAGAAGCGGTTTTGAAACTGTGCATCGTCCGTAAACCAGAACCAAACACGATGTTTAATTCAGAACTTTTAGTGACATGTTGTTAAACTTTTGAAGCATGGAGTTCAAAGAAACAAAAATTGGCAATTTCACTCAGTCTTTCTAGAATCTTTAGATCAAGCCTGTGCTTTTGCAGCCAAACAATCTCTGGACCCCCTGCCAGATAAAGAAAACATGTTCTTTTTAGTGCACAAAAGTAGACGAAATGAAGTTTGATTTTTTTTATTTCCTGTTTGCCCTAAATCTTAAGCTTTCTATACTTCTGATGAATCAAAACCTTTTCAAATTCCTTTTTCCTCCTATCGATTCAGAAAATAAATTTGACTCACTTCCCTGCTATCTGAAGAACTGTTTCCGACCGAACCTTATCTATCAAAGACAAACTCATCTTTATTGAAGGACTTTCCTTGTGAAGTTTCATATGATTGTTTCTACTTGAACTTTGAGTAAGCCGCCGACATACATTCACTGCAGGCGAAAGGTCTCTCTTCGGTTTGAATGCTCATGCGTACTGCAAGGTTCCCGGATTGAGTGAAGGCCTCGAAGCATTGTGGGCATTGGTGTGGCTTTTCACCGTTGTGAACGCGCAAGTGAATCAGGCTCAACAGAAAAACGTGTGATTACAATAAGTAAGATTGATTTTTTTCTGAACATATCTATGACTTTATTAAGAGCTTTAATGTGGACCCTATGGAAAGAAGGTAGATAAATTGTAACCAGTTGATGAAATGTACGGCCGATACAAAAATATCCATTCCTAAGATAGATCGAATGTACTTTATTAATCCATGTCTATTACAAGTTTAGCTCTTTTACTCCCAAGATCTCGTTAGCAGTTCTCCTTATTGTCTGACATAGAATTCTTATAATGTTGCTTTGGAGAATTTTTTTTATTTTTTTAAATAGGTCTGAGTTGATTATTCAAATTTTGTGCTTGAATTGTAAGATACTCACCTCTCCGAGGATTTGATTTCTATGCAACCTGCAATATGTGCCAGACATAACTAAATTTATGACGCACTCAACATTTCAAAGTAAAATCCTTCAATAAAACCAACACTTACCGTCCATGCTTCTTGCTCCGACGATCGCTTTCGAAGAGCAKGTGCTCAAAACTAGTTGCCAGACCCTTTTAGTTCCCTTTACTCCGCCATTTTGAATTCTCAGGCGGGTTACCGCTGTACACCCATTCCCCCTTCCCCATTCCCCGTTCTCCGTTCCCCGTTCTCCGTTCCCCGTTCTCCATTCCCCGTTCTCCATTCTCCATTCCCCATTCCCCATTCCCCGTCACCAGTTTTAGTAACATCCCTTATAAATACGGGTTAAAAAGACAACAGTTTCCCAAACGACTCTTAATTAAATATTTTGAAATATGACCTCACATAAACGACTACCCTGCTGGCAGAGGCGTTTATTTAACTTCCCCTGCGGTCCACGTAAAAATTAAGTCCTCTGCGCTCGGCCTGTACTGTGGGAAACGTTTTACCCAGTCCTCTCCGCAGAAGAGCCACCTGATGACTGATATCAACAAGCAACTGTTGTGAATTATATTTCATACGTTACCTAACCTGCAAAAAAATCTCAAAATCTACCCTGTTTTGAACTTATTCTTTCTTAACAGGCCGACCGACAAACTCTGAAAAGGGAAGTGTCACTCTCATTCTCAGGCTTTCAAATTTAATTTTGGCTCCTTCCCCCATCCCCCTGCCCACAGACGTAAGTTTGCTCTTTCCCGACCCCTTACAAATGTAACTTTTGCTCTATAATTCCGTAAGGCCGGAAGGAGAGGATTTATAGCAGAAGCATATTACCATATGTTTCTAGTGCTTGTACAACTTGGTCTCAGCTAAGTGCAATGAACAGTAAAAAGCAATGTTCTTGTTAAAGGCGTTTCACTGGCAAAAAACAATGATCTCGTTTAAAGGCAGTTCAACGGACGGCATAGAACGTATTCGTACTTCGAACACGCAAAGAAGCATAAGAGGTCATATTTTTACTTTGAGTTCTAAAGCATTTGTTCCTTTTGGTTTAAAGATGACACTTTGTAACTGTTGGCATTAAATTTTAGTTCAAATGTTTATCATATGAACAGGCGAGTAAACTTCCTCATATATAGAGCTGTACCACGATGCTAAATGCCTTCAATGATAGCTTTTATTACCATACTTACAAGGATCAGAACTCCATTATAACAATACAACCAGTTTATTTACAATTAAAATCAAAGAACATCTCCATCCGGGCTCTCTTCTATACTTCTGTGAAAAATAACAATTTCTTGCGATCCAGCAAACTACAGTGTCCTGCAGAACAATGTCTTCAGGATTACACAATCTTTCCAACTAAATTAGGTAACGAATTCCTTGTAAAGACAGAAGAACGTCCTCTGTGATGGGAGCTTAGTCCACCTCCAGAAGATTTTGTAAAAGATCCTTGTAGCTAACTAAACTTACAAATTCTTGCGGACCAACCCGTTGCTGAAACAATCAAAGTAAAAAAAAACATATATTAATACCAAAAATAAAACATACATACATACATACATACATACATACATACATACATACATACATATGTTTATAAACACATACATACTTCTATCTATTATAAGAAGTCTGCGCTTTGATTTTTCCGTGGTACATCCCTACAAGCCTGTTTCAAAAACAGGCTTGGAGGGATGAAAGTGTCTTTGTATTTTCCTAAATCAACATATAGATATATTTATTATATATATATATATAAAAGGAAACGACTAGATAAGATGTTCCGTTTTCGTTTAACATTTCCCTCCCTTCCCTCCCTTCCCTCCCCTCTCCTACACAAATGATACTGTCTTACCATTGACTTTGGGTCCGCGGCTGCGGCCGGGTCAAACTTCTGGGTTGTGACTGTTAAAATAATACAAAAGAGGTTTACTACACAGTTTTAGGAATGAGTTTCAATTACTACAAATCTTGGAAAACACTTACAAGAAGTCACTGCCAAATAATTCGCCTTTAACAATTCAATCCTCCTTAGCAAGGAGTAATATTTTCGATTTTCATCCTTCTTTCTCACCTCCAGACTCTCGCCCCACCCCATCCCTAGTAAGCAAAGCCATTTTCTCACCTGGGAAGTCCCTCCAGTTCAGAAGTTTTAAGAGGTGACCATAGTTCCCTTCGTTCTTGTCGTTTCGTTCAATTCTTTCTAAAATGGCTTGGAGCAAATCCGACTTGGCGGGTACGTTAAACCTTTTGCATATGTTGTGGAGTTCTTGAATGGGAAGGAATCCAGTTCTGAAAAAACAATGTAATTAGATGGAATGGTCTAACCAACGAATTGGAAACAAATTCAATGGATAACAAACCCTCCACCGATAAATACAGGAGCTTGTTTTAGTATCCACTTGTAGGTCTTGGCGAAATGTCCAGTTGGAACTAGTCACTCATATTTTATTTGATTATCATCTCCATATCAGAAAGGAGAGAGTTCGCTTACATCAGTTACGGTTTTCATAAATTGTAGTAGTTCTTGTAATCTTAGTTCTTATCCTCACCCAAGGACATCCTCGTGTCTGCATGAGTCCGTCATGTTGGAGAAATCGTCAAAGTTAGCTTTTCTAAGCTTTTCCTGAACTGCCACCACTAATATTTGCAAATCATCTACTTCTTCCTGTAGCACAAAGAAAAGTGTTGATCAATTCCTCCGACATTTTTAAAAACACCTCTGTTATAAAAGCCATGAAACTAGTAACGGTAAACTAACAAGAAACAAAGTTGAGTAGGCCGCTCTCGTACTTCTGTGGATGAGAGAGACTAGATTAACCTTGCGAACGCGACAAGCCTCTGTTGTCGCAAACGCAAGTTTTTTGAGTTAGTTCATCCTTCGTTCAACGAGAAAATATTAGAAAGTTTAGGATGTTACTACGGCAACGCCAGGGAAAACCTCGTCGATTAAAGGTACTTTTTTTCCCTAAGTATTTTGTTATAAGCTAGATGCGTTTACCGTTTCTGACAGCGCGATATCTTTTCTTCCCCATAACATGTGGATGTCGAGCTTAGTTCAAAGAAAAAGGGCCCTAAATTGCTATCGAGGTTTCAGTGCTAAAAAAAAAAGCCGTCGGGGTTTTCTTTAAGTCGCTAATACTGGATACACTCCCCGTACATGAATGAATCGCTAGTATGAACCACGAATATACTTCAGTCCGCAAGAACACAATAACCAGTCATACTGAACTCACGCTTGATCTATAACGCATATATATTAACCTCAGGCTTGATCAATAACGAATATATATTGAGTCAGACCTGACGCTGGATCAATACAAGTGTAGCTCATATCTGACAACGTAGAGGGTTTCACACTCACCTTCACGGCACCAAAGTATCTGGACACAGTTAATTGTTCGTGAACAGTCAAGTGATTTTTCCCAAACTTCTGCAAGATTTCTCTAGGAAGGAATAAAGGAAATTTTAAGAATTTTCATCAACTCCCTCACAGTGAAAGTCAAAACATTAACATTCCACTGACATGAGTGAGCCATGGCTTTTTTTCTCGCCCAAAACCGATCCATTCTCAACATGGATTCATCTTCAACATAATCGGGACAATGAATGATGACAATGCCCAACACAAATTCTGGGGAGGGAGTTTGGATCTACAGACTATGACAGCCTTTTTGGAAAAGGGAAAAAAGGTCACATTCCAGGGCAGGTGGGGCCTCTAGAATGACACCTGAATGGGGGATATATACATAAAAATGTATATAATGTATGTAAGGATAGACTAACACTAGAGTACACGCTATGCAAAAAAAAAAGGAACTCACCTGAAAACACCGGCAGGGATTTTTCCCATATTATCAGGATCGTGCTGCTGGAATTCGGTCTTAATTTCTTCGTATTTTTGTTCAAGAATTCGTTTCAGTTTCGGAAGAATAAATTGAACATTTGCCTGGGGAAAATCGGCGGCGTGTTTTTCCATGTAATTCACGGCATATTCATCTGCGTCAATCAAAATAAACTCGTACTTATGGAAAGCAACATTAGCACCGATGTATAAATCCTGCAATGAAAGAAAATACAAATACTATCAATAAATTGGACATGAGACCATTCAAATACCGTCCTTACAAACACGCAATGAAAAGCTGTATAAGCTTCATCTTTCAACTTACATTTCAAATCCATTCGAAGTCAGCGCCGTCAGTCGTTATGTTGGATATGTCCCGTATATAAACAAAAGCTCCGTTGGAACTCTCGCTAGTTTCTTTTACCCCGAAAAGTTTCCGTGCAGTGTTCTTTAAGGATCCGAACAATCTCCGATGCACGTTGTTAGTCAGAAAATAGTGCGAACAATGCAAAATTGGCTATATTAGAGAAATGTCAGTGTAGATGGTAACCTTAGGAGTTGCTAACATTGTGCATTTAAATAACAATCTGAGAAGAACAAATCACTAACTTGAGCCATGAAATAATTGACATCATCTGGTTTTTTAATTCGTCCCCGCTCCAGGAACCTCCCGCCGAGTATCCCAGAGTTCCTCTGAGGTGGCTCAAACACAAGAATTGTGTCATCAGACAGAAAGTACGAGATGATGAACCTGAAAGGAATGACGGGAAATAACATTCTCAAAGCAAAATGTACAGCAAATGCTTACTCTCTTAGTTCATTTTCGACGAGTAATGAAACGAATAGAAATACTTGTACTAACTGTACCGCTATTCAAGTTAAGAACCACGTTCGAATGACATACACAGTCTATGTTGTTGAATATCCCCAAAAGCAATGTCTAAACGTTAGAAAAACCTGGCAATGTCCTTGAGAAACATTAACAACCGAAGTTTTATCCTATCCTAAACTGCATTCTTTTCAAAGTACCGCTGAAGTGGTAACTCACCTTCTGTCCATGTCAATGGGACGCGTTGTGTCCAGACGCGCAACAAATCGAAGAACATTACTCTCCAAACCATGTCTGAAACAAAAACAAGAAAATACAGGTTAGAGATAATTAAGCGTCATTGGTGTCGATATTCTAATTCAATTGTTGTGAGTAAACACGTTCTTCCATAAAAAGTCTCAAAACGCCGCTACAAATTCACAGGGTGAAGCGTTTGAGTTAAATCAGAAGCTTGGATAAATTTATAGCATCATCAAAGTAGGTTCAATGATTCGTGTTCAGCTTCACAACTTGAAGTCACTTGTATAAGGGCGAGATGAACGCTAGTTTGAAATGTTGCCAGACTGCTTTCTCACCACTTGGGGAACTAAAGTCGGAGATAAAAGAAGTCTACATGCCGTGTATGCGCAAGTGAATCAGAGTTTTGGTCGGCTGCGAGCCAATTTCCCGCACAAATCACTAAATGATAACGTAAGTTAAAGTATCAAGCACCCGTGTCACACACAATTTACGAAAAGAAAAATTATACTGAAACGTTCAAAGAAATCTGTAATAGGAAACAAATGGACGCCAAAGGAAAACTTAAGACTTTTTGAACACTATGGATTACCTTATCAATAACATTCTGTTGATTTATCGTTTTGCTCAGAACTTTAACAGAGTAAGTGCATTTAAACGTTTCTATAACTTTCGCAATTTCCACGCTTTTTTGTTTTGTTTAATTTTTTTTTTGTTTCTTACAATATTCAGGCTAATTTTGAGCCCGCTCAGCGTTCGCTGACCTTTGAAGACGTTGAAACCTGTGTTCTACATTCAACAACTTCATCACTGCAACATTGCTCGCGTACCTGTCTTTTTCCATGAACTTTTTGAAATCTCTCCGAGTAGGCTTGGGTCTGAGACTGAGACAAGTGGCCAGTGAGTCTTCCTCAGAACCAAATCCGTTATATGGGGGGATCTCTCGGGGTGGTAAGGGCTCTGGGTTGGCTTTAAAGTTGATACTTCCAAACTCCTCTGTGCAGAAAAAGTCATGCGAAAATTAATCAATGGTCAGTTCCTTTTGCAATGAGAAAAGATCGTTAAAAAAAAAAAGAGCATTCCCTGCTTCCACTCCTGCAGAAAAGCTTTCCGTACTACAAATTAAAAAAATAAAACCCAGGATGACTTACGTAATCCATATTTTGACTTGTAATACTCTTTGGTGAACTCATCACAGTCGCAGATACGGAATTTACGGCCCCACACATTAATAACTGAGCCAATGGTGAGATCATTATCCTGATAATAGTCCGTATACACTGCACCAGTCTGAAATATAACAAAACATATTTCATTGATCAGGCAGTTACCATGGTGATACCTGTGAGACAGGAGCCTTCAGGCACCTGATGATTCCTCCAAGAGTAAAAGTTGTTTAATTAGGGCTTTAAACCCTGGGGGGGGGGGGGTACTCCCTTATAAGGGCTTAAAGGGGAGCCAGCCAGGGTATGTTTTTCGAGATTTTTGTCTTAAACAGGGTATCAAATTTACCATTTTTTGTCTTAATCAGGGTATCAATTTATCAATTCTTGTCTTAAACAGGATATCTTTTCTTGGAAGATAAACAGCAAAGTTTTTACAAGCTCTAATTTTAATTAATATTTAATTCCATTGATTTTGGCATTAATACCAGGCACATTAAATGTCTCAAACAGGATATCAAAAATCAGAATTCTGTCTTAAACAGGGTAGGAAAATCAGCGATATTTGTCTTAAACAGGGTCAGGGTATGAGGGGCCAAACCACACCTCCCCACCCAGGAATATATCGAGTACCCCCCCTGGGCCTTTAACCTTCAAGACCTGTTTGTTAATTCTCCCCTTTAGCTGCTACACATTTTCTTTTAAATTATTTACAAGAATTTGGTGTTATATCAAGGTAACAACTTCTACTGAACAACTGAGTATTTCTCATTACCTGGAAAATGCAAAGATATTAAAGGAGAAGTTATGTGTTAATCACTGCAAAAGGTGAGGTAACCAGCTGTTGTTGGGCAAGGCCATCTCCCCCCACAAAGGGTCAACAAATACAAGACTCCAAAGGGTAGTGGAAGACAAGCCTATTTTTGTCATGTACACTGGCTGTAATTATATCAACTTTCTGACTTGTTTTTAAGCAAACCAACCTTAAGGCTGTCCAAAATCCATCTGCCTCCATGTCCCATGGGACCAAAAACATTCAGCACTGTTCTGCCTGTAATCTCCCCTGGTTGGCGCAGTGATGTAGGTTCCTGAAAAGAAATAATAACAACTACATTATTAAACAAAACAAGTTAGCTAACTATACATAGCAAGCATACTTAAAGGGTGCAAACAACATAATATGCAGTGCTCTGTACTAATTTTTGACTAATTACCTTTGGCAGCCTTTGTCGCCTCAGGAACATGGGTACCGCATCTCTACCACAGTTGTTTGGAATACGTTCACAGATCTCTACAGTATCGTCAGCCAGAAAATAATGCAACTCCATCTCACGTACATCACCAAACATACTAGAACAGAGAGAGGGAAAAATTTAACAAAATGTGAATAAACTTAGTAATTAATACTAAATATTTCCAAAAAGACAATATAACAGTGACTATCTTTACCATACAACCAGCACAACATCAACGCACGTAGAACCTTAAGAGAAAACTTACTTGTCACTGTCATCCCAGACACAAAAGAATCGCAACACATTGCGATCAAACTGAAGAAACTGCTTGAGAGTGTCCTCTTTCTCATATGGACGCAATGGCTGCATGCTCTCCACCAGCTAGAAAATATACAGTAACACCAAAGATTACATGCAGGTTTATTTTGACATATTAACAAGCCTAATTCACAGTGGAGAATTGAAGATTGGGTATATTTTGGACGAGTCAGAGCCTGATATATCAAACACAATGAATATATGAAATACATATATCTGAACTGCGGTTATGAAACGTATATGTGCACGATCCTCGCAGTAAAGCACTATTTAAGCAATAGTGAAAATCAGACTTGAAAAAATTCAGGCCTGTACAGGATTCGAACCACTGACCTCTGCGATACTAGTGCAGCGCTCTACCGATTGAGCTAACATTAGCCAACTGGGAACAGGCCATCAAATTAATTCAACGTAAACCCGTAAGATGATAAATCAAACACAACGAATATATGAAATACATATATCTGAACATGATATCTGGCATACATCAGTTTTAGTTCTACTGACTACGAACCTTTTTACGGTGGTCTGTATAAGGATCTGTTGGGGTGTTTTCTGGGTTATGTATCCTGACTCCAAGTTTACGGAGAAAATTGTGGGTAAAATCATCACATCCCTAAGAAAAAAATTATAAAACATGTAGGGAACTTAATTTGAGTACATCAAAAAAAGTGAAAATCGTTTCAACGTCTGCATAAGTCACTGATTACTGTGAAGATATACTTTTTCTGGCTTCTTTCCCACGTAATCATAGCTGTGATTATGAAGAGGACATATACTGAAAATTTACATTCCAACCCTTTCACAATCCTTACTGTCTGCCATACAAATCTTACAATGTTAGTTCAGAGAGCTAAGTATTGAATCAACTACATGTAATGCTCCCCCTATTAATATCTCTGTTTACTTTCATTACTTATCCACTTGATTTTGTATTTTTCACCCAAGGTAGTTAAAGGATTAAGACAACAGAGGGGATTAAGACAGCTTTGAAAAAAAGAACGACTTGCACTAATCACAATGCAGGAAGCAGCATTTTATATACTCACGGTGATCTTAAATGTGCGGGAGTAAAGTGTGATTTCCTGACCAACATTAAAGTTTTCCACAGTGTAAAACTCTTCATCATTAGGTGGAGGGAGTGGAATGCGATGACGGCGAATCAGCGTTCCTGTTTATAATAAAAATAGAAAAAATCAAGTTAACATTCTAAATATAATAGTAATTACAACTCCCTTCAAAATAATGACAAACCTTGTGGAATTCCACTGTTTTCAACTTTGGGCTCAATCACCTGGATGCTGTCATCCTCCAAATAGAAGTAAATTTTGCATCTAACATAAAAAAATACAAAATTTAAGAAGTTGAAGAAATAATTAAGATCTCATAATTGAAATGTTATCAATATTTTAATCATCATACTATTTGCACATATAACATCAGCAATGGTGAATGGCAAATTTAAAACTTAAGAGAATGTGACACTGTTTCTTTGCTTTGCAAACAAAGCCAAGATAAGACTGAACATTTTCTTATTTATTCTAACTAGCAGGGAAAATAAGGAATGATACAAGATAAAAAATAGAGAAAACATTCTCAGTGATATCTAATTTTTACCAATCTTCTAGAAAATAGCCTTGGAATATTAAGATATAGTTTGATACCTTCTAATCCTGTACTGTTCCTCCCTTTTCTCATGCACGGCTTCTTGGAAATAGGCATCAAAGCACAAAACCTGCATTTCACAAAAAAACAAGGACTCAGACATTAAATACAGTCTTCATGGATAACCTTGTTTCTTATGGGTCTTTGGTTTGAAGCAGTCAATGAGGTGTTTTTTTTAATGATTTCATTGTAGTTGGCCTCATATCACTTAATCTAACAGGACAGACACACAACTTTGTTGTTATTTTGAAGTGTAAATCAAATACTCTGTGATGCTCCCATACTTTAAGTTCATTCACTTAGATTTAATTCAAATTCTCCCTCCTGCTTGGTATATGTTCCTGGTTAATTAACAAGGAGAATTTGATGACATTGTGGAGAGAAGTAACATTTCAGTCACCTCTGGGAGTTGAAATGCTTAAGTGCTCTTTTGGGAAAGATTTCCATATGATTGATAGAGTGTTGCAAAGAAACCTTTATATTTAGTCTTAATGAAATGGAGTGCATAATTAAGGTATGGGGTTATATGGAAATTTTTTCATTTACTTATTTCACCAAGGAATGAGAGAAACAAAACTGTCCAGCTGACTCGTTTTACTTCTCAACATCCATCAGTAAACCACAGTTTTATAAACAGAATAAATACTCCTGAAGGAAAGATTTCCGTATAACCCCATACCAATCAAAAACAAAGCCGTAGTCCCAAAGGAAATCTGTTGTTTTGCCACTACTTTCCTTTATCCAAGAATTGAATGCATTATGAAGTATGGGGTTATACGGAAATCTTGCCCTCCTGAATACTCATAACCGAAAAATCGACATATCACTTCACAGGGACAAAAATATCTAAAGTGGCGACAAGATAACTTATCCCTTACTTTTTCCACAAACTATTTGCTTTTATGCCAGGGTACAATTTTTACACGATTAAACCGCCGAAGCATTTGAGGTTTAATTTATGAATTTACCGCAAAATGACTGACGAATCTCTCACCTGTCTATCAAATGCAACCCAAGCTGGTGCCTCACCACCGATTCCTTTTGGATAACCACTGTGCCTTGGTCTTAACTTCTGTCCTGGTAAAGGATCTCCTCCTGATAAATGAAAGCAAAACAGCTAGGTAAATGAGTCAGTGTTACTTTACACTGAAGAGCGAGTATTAGCTTGGTTTACAACAGTTACAGTTACCACTTACCGTCTTAAACTAAAATGGAACAGATGACATTTTCAGGGAAATAAATTCAGTTTAATAACTTACCAATTCCACATTTGTCTTCACCTACAAAGGATGATACTTCATTCCGATAATCAAATAGTTGTGACTTGTGGAACTTGTTTTTGCCAATCTGGTAAGAGTTTGAAGCAGAGTAAGTTTTACCGTAAATTTGAGTTATTCTTAAATAACGATACATATACGTCACTGTAGAATTTGAATGCTTACCTTTCGATCAAAAACTTGGCCTGGCAGAAAAGGTAGAGCCATGACGGTTTATTCACAGCAAACCCCGAACTCCTCTTAACTTAGAGCTTGTTTGAATCCAAGATGTCTGCCGTGTTGCTAATATACGGTCCGTCGCTAAGATTTGTGGGTTTACCATAGCAACCACTTCGAAATCTTACATCACTTTTGATTGGTCAACTTGTTCTTTTCTTTAAATTTAAACCAATTAGAGCGTTGAATGGAACGTGATTAGTTCTCCCGCCAACTGGGTTTGTTTGTGGTTTTTCTCGGCGTTTCGGTCGCATGACAATTTATCCAAACATCAGTTTTCAAAAATCTGAATCAAGGGAAACAAAATGTAGAAAGAAGATCCATGGTTTTCTTTCATAACATCAATCCCGGGGCTCGCGTTCAAGTGAGATGGCGGGGAAAAATCGAAACCGGGACAATTCGATATGCAGGAAGCTTGATGGCGAAAGATGGCGAATGGGTTGGCATTGAATTAGACAAAAGAGGTAGGGTTAATTAACCCTGCGATCTTCGTCAGAAAACTTATCATATTATAATCCATTAAGCCTCTATGCCAAAGCGATCGAACTTAGAGTTCTACTGAAGGCAAAAGTTTGTTTGAGACACTGCTAATTCTATTGGGCTTCACTCCGACATTGTTTTCACTTAATTATTTTCAAGTACCTCGTAATTTTTTTGTAAACCAAACAGCTGACGCCTTCTACGATACAATTAGTCCTCAAAGTGTGGCAATCGTATCCTCTACATCGGAACTATCGTTTCCTCGAATAATCGTGCAATTATTCTCTCCGGTAATGTTATGATTTCCTCCTCCAAATTAACCCAATCAATGGCTTTGAGTGGCACATTTCAATCCCAACGTAACCATTTCGATGACCCTGAACTGCTGTTCCTTGCAGCGGAAAAGACTTCTGGAAATGCTCATTTATTCTGCTTATCCAATAGCAATAGCAGCATTTATTTTTGTAGTGAAAATTATGATTGTATTGACAACTGGCGTTTTTTCAAGTTGGTAATACTAGTGGCCTGTATAAGGGAATCCAGTACTTTCAATGCAGAGATGGCCATGGAATATTCACACACGCAAGAAACATCAGATTTATTCCAAGTCAAAGAAGGTCAGTTGTTACTAGAAATTATAGCTGGCTCAAGAACAAGCCACCATTGCTCTCCACCTCTTAAAACACGGTACACATGTATGAATGTAAGAGGTAATAAAATGCTACTATTTTTCCGGAAAGATCATAATTTTTACAGGAGAGCTGCAAATAAAAATTTTGCATAAAAGAAATAATATATGATTTATTTCGCTCCGACGAAGGGCTAACGCTCGAAACGTCAGCTTTTGTAATCGTTACGGTGGCCAATTTACCACTTCAACTTTGATGATATATCCAAATTATTTCGTTACTCCCACCGACGCAGCCCCAAACAGTTTCTTTCGAAACTATTAGCCTTTATTCATTATGATTTATTCCATTTGATTGTGATCTTGTGTTATTCTTTTAATTACTTTTTGATGAAAACCTTAAAAATTTTGAGACATTTTTTAAGGATTATCCTACATTGTACTTTTCCCCTTTAGGTTACATGATACATTCAAGGTAGTTTCCAGGACCTCATCTGTGGATGAGACTCTCTTTTCTAAAACTGAAGGTAGAGGACAGCAGTCACACTTCACTCTTTAACTACTTTTTGTAATGTTGAATTTGTCTATCTAATCTTGTTGCAAGTGCATCTGTTTTGATATCCTCTGAAAAGTGGAATTTTCTTCCAGGCTTGGTTGATTGTGATATATATTTTTTTCTTCACAGTGACCCCTGTGAAGAGTTACTCTGATCCTGAAGTCATTACTACCAAGTACCTGGACAGGGTTAAAACAATGATTCAAGGTCTTTTCATCGATCCAATGACTGAATTAACTGTGTATGAAATACCAGTCAAATGTGTTGTAGGTAGTGACTGTCACTCAAGAGTCAGAGGGTATAGCAACCTAAAAGCAAGCCATGTTCCAGCCAATATGTTGGTGAACACATAACTGATACTCTCTCCATGGTTGATTGATGGTCAGTGAGTCAGTCAAAGTAAAGGACAACTGACTATGGTGACTATAGGGACCATAGGGACTATAGGGACTATAGGGACTATAGGGACCATAGGGACTATAGGGACCATAGGGACCATAGGGACTATAGGTACCATAGGGACTATAGTGACTATGGGGACTATGGGGACCATGGGGACCATGGGGACCATGGGGACCATGGGGACTATGAGGACCATGGGGACTATAGGAACTATGGGGACTATAGGGACTATAGGGACCATATGCAAACCATGACAGCGACGGCAAAGAGCGTGTGGAAAAACAAAAGATCTCATTGGTTGAACAGTAGCTCAGCATGTCCATTTTAAAACTTAGAGCATTTCTTCACCATCCTTTGCAAAACAACAACATAAAATCACCAAAATTTGCATCATCTGCAAACTGCAACCATGACGGCAAATTATTTTAATTTCCATTTGGAACTCAATGCTACTTTTATACATCATGTTGAGGTTGAGGTGTGGCGCCATACAAGATGGTGAACACCTGCAACCATTTCGGAAATTCTAATAAGAGTAGAAATTCATTTTTTAATTGACATCTTCCTTGGCATCGCCGTCCTGACTGCCTAAGGTCCCTAATGGGACATAGAGACCTCAGCCAACCAGCAGTTAAGCTGATCAAGTGTCAGTCAATATCTGGCTGAACATGATGTAGACTACTGGCCAACATATTGACTAGGTATCCTTGTAGTCATCATTCTCCTGCTAGCCTACATATTGATCTATTGAAATATTGCATGTAGCTACCTATACTGACCATGATTGACTACTACCATTAAACTATCCCTCAGCAAATTTTATTGCCAATAATTCTTAATGTTCAGAATTACAAGGGCTATCTCTCTATTTAACTGTTACTTAAAAAACTTGAATCATTATTTTCTTTTGACAGGAGAATTTCCTTGGCCTGAAGCAAAAACACGGTTTAACAAAAGCCATTTAGTTGGAGCTCACATTCCATCAGCAACAAGAGGGAGAGGTCACTCTGCAGCTTATTTCAAGCCTGAGGAAGACTTTAGCTTTAACAAACACTTTATTTCTCCTTCATCAATTCCAAACATTCACATACCTCGACCTATTCTGAAGAGAATGTTAAGATCTGAATACTTTGGGACAACAATCCCAAGGTATTCTAGTCTTTCATAAGAAGGGACCCTGGTCAGTGGTGTGTTGCAGAGGCCAATAGGGATAACATTACTTTCTAAGGAGTTTCCTTTCAATGCCATTGTGCTACTGTAACAGGTCACCTAACAAAAATTAACCAATCACAGTGTGCCTTCCACCTCCACTATATCCATTTCTTTTTTGTTGTAAATCTTGGTTACATGGTGTTACATACTTTGCACAGCATACCCTTTTAGGTGCTGCCTATGGGCCACCTAGACCAGACAAGATGAGTTTGTGTGTTTTGACACAGTCCTCCATAAGGACAAGTTTAGCTGGTGAAACATTAAGTGTTTCATGGTTGTCAATCAACACACACAGTATATGAAACAAATATTGAGGCCAACTATATTCAACTGCACCAATCAGTGCTTAGGACCAAAGGAAGCTAAACTGCTGAAGAGTTTAGGTGTAATTTAGTTTGTATCCAGTTATTACGTTAGTCAGTTTTGAGTTCCGTAAGTAACCTCTGAGCCATAACACTGTGCTTAACCATATTGACTGTTAAAAACCATAATGTAGATATCTTTTATGTAGGCACATAAGCATGTAAGCAGCATTTGATCGATGAGTGGTAAAATGATTCTTGTAATTTAGCAGATATAAGGAATAATGTATTTTAGAGGAAAGGAAGCCTGTTGATAGCCTCCAATCAGGTAGATTCCTGACTCCTCACTTTCTGAAACTCCTGCGTGTTTGAGGTGTTCATTTCTTAAAACAGAGTGAAATAGTAAACAGTGGAATATTAGAAGCAGAGAGAGACCAACAAACCGCCCTCACTCTTGTTACTAACACACTTCATTTTAAAAACTGAATGCCTCAACCTTTTATTTGTCTTACTTATGAAAAGTAAAACAGTCCTTTTTACGGCTGAACTTTTCATAAAATTAGATAGCCATGGCTTGAGTCTTTAACTTATTGCATGACAAATGTCACTGACACTAATGTTAAACCCTACAGTATAATAAGCCCAAATTTCAAGTTCAGAGTGGGATGGACTGGGTAACTGTTAGTGACTGAGTGCCTTGAAAAGGCTACACAGTCGTAATAGTACAAAGGCAGTGACTATAGTGCTACACTGGAGCTGTCTCATTTGAAATTTAACAATTAACTTTCAAATGAGACTTGTCCTTTAAAGTCCACTGAACTGACCCAAAACTGGCTTTAAATTACTGTAACAAAACTGAAAATTTTCATTCACTTGTGATTACTGCTTAATTAACTAACATATACTGGAGGACACATTTTACAATCTATTCTTACCTCTTTATTACAAAAGATTACATGAACTTCTATTGACTGTAATACAGGGCTAAAAATACTTTGAAAATAACTATAATGTACCTGCCACTATGACGGTTTTTTTTTTTTTTTGTTTGCTTGGATGATATCATTTTGTACAGTTACTTATTAAATAAGTACATTTTTTTAATACAAGTTTGAGTTAGCTGTTATGTCACAGGGCCACCAGGTGTCTTGTTACTTGTAGGGGTAGTTGGCTTTAGTGTCCCTGTGTTTGTCAATCCTGTTGGTAGTAACCCTGGTAGTGTCACAGTCCCTGCTGATGTGGGAGTGGTGGGGTTAGAATCCCTTGGGGTGGTAGGTAGACCAACTTTCAGACCAGGTGGTATAGATATTGTTAAAGTACCACCAGAAGTTGGGGTAAGTACTTTGACTGGACTTGCTCCAGGGGTAGAGGGTGTGGTGGGTGTTGTAATCCCTGTGGACAAGACACCAGATACTGTTCGTACAGTGAGTGTGGAGGGTTTCTTCATGGCGCTCATGGTCTGCCGCAGCTGTGAGACTTTAGTACAAAGAAGTTGACCAATACTACCAAACTCTTTTTCATATTGATCAGGCAAGTCTGGTGGATGACGAGTTCTCAGTAACAATGCAGGACAGTGTTTCTATAATCAGAGAAATCAATGTTTTAGTTGTATTGACTCAAACCCAAAACATATGTATATACACTCAAACAGAGAGGGAAAGACACATCCAAATAGATAGGGTGACACACTCAAACAGGGAGACACAATGGGCAATTTTTGTAGGATGCCATCTGTTGTTTGGTAAAAGCAAACCAAATTTTTAAGCTTGTAGCCTCTATTAGCTTTCCTCCCTACATTACTTTTTCTAGTTGCTGTAAATTTAAGATTGCAATTTCTCTGTAATTATTAAATTGTAAATTTCTTACTTGTCATGTCTTATAGCAAAATATAAAAAATGCAACAAAGGAAGGTCACTGTGTAAGGTCTGGTCAGAGTTTAAAATTTATCTGATCCAAGAAATTAGATGGCCACCTTTACATATTTTTCAGACCAACTATAACTCATGCAATGGGAAGTGATTTTTTATAACTATTTGAATGACTACAAAGTTCTCAAAAAAATTACCAGAAGTAAATTCTTGAGGTTTTCTGCAGCATTCTTTTCCACAGGATCAATTCCTTCTTGAGCTTTTTTAATCAAAACACTTTCAATCTTGAGTCTTGGAACAACAAATACCTTAACCACCTTTCACATCAGAAATGTTTGAGAAACAAAATTAATTAACAGTGGAGTATAAGAAAGTTATATCACATTGGCAAGTTTGCATAAACCTCTTGCAAGGGTAGGGTTTTAGTAAGAAATGCAGTTATTGTTGAATAGTGTCAAGTATCAGAAAAGTATTCCCCACATCTGAACAAAATAAACCTTGGGGCATCAAAATTTAGTCACAGAATTCTGCATAATATCCAAAGAGTCTTTTGATCTCTGTAAGCTCACCCTGCAAGACTATCTTTTAATTGTGATTATTTTAAAAACATACCTCCTGTCCCAGCTCTGCAAGCCCAGTTATAGCACCATAATGAGTTGACATTGAAGCTTTTTCTTGGTGTAAGGCCTACACGAGCAAACAAAAGTATTCAGAGTAATTGATTTAAAACAAGTGAACCACAACAGAATAAGCAAACAACAGAAGTTCAGAACAAAGTTTAAAAAACCAAAATATATTCCTTGGTCTGAGGGAGATTTCACATACCTTGCAGTAGGTTTTTGTAACCCTTGATTGAACATTATTGGTAGTGGAATTAAAGGACCTGAGACAAAAAGCACATAGGCTGCTTTGAAAAACTGCAAGCTAAATAAAATTTAGCTGAAAACCTGTTTAAGATCAAAACTAACTTGACAAACAAGTTCCCTATGCCCATTTACATTACTGAACTGTAAATACTTTTAACTGTTTTGCAGACAAAGCCCATGTTCTGAGATTATTTCTACACTTTTTCACGCACTATACACTTTACATGATTTGCAAAGTTAAAGGGCAAGGTCTTTTTTTTTTTTTTAAGGCAAGAACCCCAATTGGTCGTAGCCAAACGAGGCAGGTCATGTCTAAACCCTTTAACAACTAACTTTTAAGTGACAAGCATATCTAATTTCTTCGAACAATATCACCCTGAAATTCAACATGAAAGGTCACTTGAAAAAAAAGATATGATCACCAACTAAAGAAGCCTTTGATTGTTAAACAAATTCTCCTTGTCAGTACCAGAGGAAAAGTATAGAAAACAGTATGGAGAATATTCATACTGATGTTAGGGTGTAAAAGGTCAATCAATAAACTCTTTCTCACCTGCAGACTTGTGCAACAACTCTTGATCCAAAGTCTCTGAGTGCCCAGTGATTGTCAGTTTCTGGATTAGTGCTGAGTTGTTTACTCACAATACAAGTCATTACTGCTGGGATCAGCTCATGCAGCTGTTGAGTTGGAAAAAAATATCAATTATAATAATAAGAAATTGTCTTTGCACACCAAGTGATCAAAAAATTTCTCAAAATATCAAGGTTTCAGAAAAATCAATTTATTACTCACATATTTTTCCACATAAAGTGTTGGATTATCCAACAAGGCTTTCACCATACGCATCAGATAGATCAATAACACTAAGTTATTTTGTGCCACATTTACTCGCACCTAGTAGAGAATAACACAAACAGCTGCCATTAATAGTGCTTTTCACTAAAAAATACTCATTCAAAAACTTTTGTTGGAGAAAGCAACACTGTACACATGTTCCAAATCAAATGTTCCATTTGACATTGTGATCAATGTGATGTTAAACTTCCAACTCCCCTATATAATTAAAATGTTAATTCTCTACACTACGGCATATACATTTTCTAACAAAAAAGTAATGAGAATGAAAAAACTTATCAGCAAGAGAGTGTTACCTTGATACAACACCAACTTCACTTTAAAAATTTATAAGGAAATTTTTAGCCACTAGATGGAAGAATAGGAGATCAAAACTTGAGAGCCAAAGGTTTGATTAAACTTACCCCCTCAGAGATAAAAGTACTGAATCTTGGTAACATTTGATAGAGACCAGGGTCTGTTGACAAACTCTGAAGAGCTTCCTAAAGATAAATAAGTAAAGTAAGGTAAGTCTAGTAGAAAGCCAGTAGCTCACCCAGGAATAAAACAACTAGGAGTATATGTTGCAGGTAATTTTTTTTCTAAGGTAAATTTAATTTTTCACTAGGTACAATTTTTTAATCTGGGTAATTCTGCACCACAATATTTTTTTTTCATTTGTTATGGGGTAACTAACTCTATTTTTAATTGTGTGCCCAAACAACTGGCAAAACTACAATTTCTGTAACATCTATAACTAATATATACCAGAGACACCAGATGAAGACAAAACATAATGTAGTGGCAAAATCTTAAAGGATCCCTTCCAACCACAATACCCTACACGCCCAAACAGAAAAAATAATTAAGAAATAACTAGTCAAATAGAAAGAACAATAAATTTGGAACGCGATTGAGGAAATTCAAGACCTCAGTGAAGCAAATGTAGTCGGATGAACGAGGATTTCTTTCCACTTCACGACTTGTCCAATACTGGATGGCAGAGAAAATGGCAGATTTCACATATCGCGCTCGCAATGTATTGTGGTTGGAAGGGATCCTTTAAGTTGTGCCAAGCTTGTTTTGTATAAAGTACTTACAGCTCTTCTAGATTCACAGGATCCTACACAAGCCTCAGTGATCTCTTTGTAATATAACTGTTGTTCCTAAAAAACAAGCCAGTCAGGTGACTTAAAGTATATTTAATCCTGTGCAAGGATTAGCTTCACTCAAAGCCTTCAACCCTTGATACAGTTTAAGGAGAATTAATTTTGGTTTCAAATCAGCTTTTTAGTGCCTCCAAGTACACCTACATATACTCTAGGAGTATGTTGGAATATTGCTTTCACAAACTACCGTCGAACCTTGATTATCCGGACTCATCGGGACCTCGGAAAATAGCCCGGATAATCGAGAGTCCGGATGATCGAAAATATGAATATTAATAGGACAGATATATAAACAAAAGGTATACAGCAAAGAAAACATCATTTTAATTGTGATAGCTACACAGCCTGTATGTATTAACAAATAACACATCAGAATATTTCTTTGTCTCGTCGCACTTGCGAATTTTGAAGAGCACACGGATAATACACTGTTTTAACAGTCTTTTGAAAGGATTAGTGGGCTTTTTGTGACTCTGAGTTTTCAAGACCACAACAAATTAATATTCATGATAAATTGGGACCAGAGAAAAAAGTCCGGATAAGCGAGGTCCGGATAATAGAGGTTCGACTGTAAAAACATTAAACAGAGTAATTTTAAAAAGTGTATAACAAAACAATCAAAGTTAAAGCATTAACTTGATCACTGCCACAGCTGATCCTATAGTCACAATGTTCATTGAGAAAAACCCTACCATGGATAATTCATGAGTAACTTGTGGTTTTGTTTTGTCATTTTTATCTCCAGAATCCTCTTCTTTGTTAAGATTTTGGTTATTCTTTTTCCCAATGCTTTGTTTGGTTCCCTTTCCTGCCACCTTTGCTGCCTGTGGTTTGACTGTTTTAGTTACTGTGGGTAATGCTGCCGCTAACACAGCCCTACTGTCCTTTGCCTGGACTTGTACAGGCACTACAGAGAGAAAGCAAGAAAACTTATTATCACACCATAATAACAAGGAAAAAAGTTCTATCAGGATTTAAAATCCATTTCGATAGTGGTTCATCAAAGAGACCAATAGTGCAAAGTCTTCTTCCAGTTTGAATCCTTTATTTATTAGTTTCATTACCTTGAAGTAAAACAATATTTAATTTTATTACCAGTACTTATGTCCACAAATGTTCCAACAAGGTTCCTTCCTAATGATATACTTATACCAATCAAGACATTGATCTCACAATTACTTTGCTGTGATTTAAGTAAAGCCAGATACCTGGAGGTGGATTTTCAGGAATTGCAGGCTGGAGGCCATCAATACTTAACCAGTGTGCTAAAAGATAAAACAAACATACAAATTCCCACTCATTCTATGAAAAACAAGTATTCAAAGTCTCTAAAAATTTTAACAATGCTATCAGTTAAAGGGCTGGAGCAAATATTTGAATTTCCAGGTCCACCTGGATTTGCTGCATTTACTACCTGGGAGAAAGAGCAAAAACCAGCATCATGTCTCAAATAAGAACTTAATCCTCAGAGAGACCCTTCAGTATTTCAGTTTTCCCTTTGAAGAACACAATTTTATGATACCCATTTAAAGAAAGCTTTTCATTTAATTATCTTGAAACCAAAACCCAATCAGCCAATCAGAACAGAGGAGAAGGTCACAAGGTTTAACCCTTTGCACCCTAATATGGAAGTCCATAATCTCTATACTGTTCTCTAAACTCATTCTAAGCTGCTGATATTCTTGTGATTCAGAGGTGATGTGGTAAGGCGAAATTAAATGGCAGTCACTCTTAGGATCAGAGGGTTAAAGGAAAATCATGCAACTGCCTCAAACCCAGAAGAACACCAGTGCCTAAGTCCAGGTTAGTTATAGTTTTGGTTTTAAATTAGGGTGGTATAAGTTTTCACAGTGCAAAGAAAAGCAAAACCAATGCTCAAATCAAACAAAGTAAATTCAAACCAGCACCTCCACGACATCACTGTACCTTTGATGGTTACATCCACTGGAATACGCGGCAACTGTGAGCTAACAATTTCATTCAAGTCAATTTCAGGATCTTTGTAATAATACAGCTCTCTTCCCCCTCCACTGGCAAAACGGAAGGGGATAAATTCTTTGGAGCCAAAGCCATAAAGAGGCTGCAAGAAGATAAGATTGCACTACTGAAGTTCAAACCACCTATATTTGCAAAATATACTTAGGGGTTATCACACAAGTCAATCGAGTTTTATATTATACTGAATATGACATACATCTCAATTAGTTCTCACTTATAATCTAGTGGAGGAAAGATGTCTAGATAATGTCACGTTAACAACATTTTGATTTTGATCATGTAAAACAAATGTACTGCAGTTTTAAGAAACGTATTAAAAGCGATCCTAGCAGTAACAGGCACATTGCTCTGCAAAATTTCGAAAAGTAATTTCTAAAAGTTTTACACAGTATTTTTCATCACTTGATCATAGTGTGCTTGACAAGGTATTTCAGACTGCTGACTACTACCACCATTTTGATATATCTAGTGTGCATATTTAAAAAAGACCAATCAATTTAATGTATACCTCAATATTCTGCACGTGAAGAGCATTATCGATATCACCAGTGATGAGTTTCCTGCGTTTCGAGTGCTGCATAAATTTACCAGACTCCTGAACATTTGAAGTAAGAGTTAGAATACATAGGAATTAGGAACTTAAAAAGTATATATGCTGAATGTAAGAATCATATGAAGACAGCTAACAAGTAAACTGACAATTAAAAGATTTCATGTTAAGGCAAAGTATCCACTTTTCATTTCAATGAAGATATGAGCTTTTCCTTTGTCAGTCACAAAATTCGTTCCAGACACAACATTTTAATCAAATTTCAATAAAAGGTTCTGAATGTTCACACGACTGAATATTTTCGTTCGAAAGTTGATAAAGATCCCTCTCTATTCACAGATCACCAGAAATTTTTCCAATGAAGATATTTTAGCCAGCATGCAGAGGAAAAATAATTGAGAAGAATTTGCTGCCTTTCTATAACATCAAGAAATGGTTAGATATTCTAGTTTTCTCGGATAGGGAAAAATATATGGAGGTCCCCTCTCCTGCAGGGTTGGGGTAAGAGACGTTAATTCCCCACACACGAGATTACTGTGTGATGGTTGTCCTCCCCTTGGTGGGATGGGTGGGTTTACAGAGGGCCATGTGTTAGAAAACTCTTTACTGGGTTAATCATGTATTTACCCTCTTGAAATAAAGAACATTGTATTGTATTGTATTGTATTGTATTGTATTGTAAAACAAGACGCTAAAGTCACCTGAGCGAGTTGTTTCAATCGGTATGTCCCATCATCAATGAGCAGATTTATCGCCTCCTCATTAAGATTCGATATGCCCATGGACTCCGAAATTAACTTTATACTTTCAATTGTTAGCTGGCCATCAACTTCAGTCTTTTCATCGTCTTCGTCCATTTTAAATCGCGATGTAATTGTCTTTAGACTCCTAACTCGCCATGTTGTCCGCCATCTTTCGTTGTTATTGGTGAGCCAGCGGTCAAATCTGTGAGTGCCAGTCCCACGCATCTCAATGTCGCGCAAATCAGGGAAAGTCGGGACAATTAACTTTCTCGTCAGAAGTGTTCGTTAGTATGGCAGAGCTATCCGTTCACGAGAATTATGCCCATAGGCGGACACCAAAGAAAAAAGGTGCATGTTCGCTTACGGGAGAAAAACAGAAGGAAAGAAAGTACACCATGACAAACGTGGTCATAACGTGACACTACAAACATCGCACTTTTGTAATGTCAAACGAATGGACTGCTTGCTTTTCTGCAGAGATTTAACAACTCCGATCCCCACTGTTCTGTTGCTCTGTCGAAGGTCACATTGAGTCAATTTTCAAACTCAAGACAAATTTAACTGCCAAGAGTCACTCACTTATCATGCATGGGATGTCTGCTCAGGAAAGAGCATACACAGAAGAAGAATCCAATCTTCACTTTCGCAAGTGTCTGTGTCCGCTTCATGATGAGAAAGTGTTCGCTTACGGGAGTGTGTAAATACTGAGTTTCACTCGCAGGAAAATCTGGGAATTGAAAAAAGTGTTCGTAAGTATGCTACCCGCTTACGAGAGTGGCCTTTAGAGGAGAGTTGACTGTATATTTGGCAAAATTTTATCTTGGGATGCTTTTCCAGAATTGCTTGAAGTATCCTTCTCAAAATTTTTACCACCTCTCCCAACGCCCACAACCACTTCTTTACCTTTATGTTACGCCACTTTTACAGAACACAAAAACGCGCAATACACGTAAAAGTGGGTTTCAAGTTGTGCGTATGGCTCCCCTTCAAATTTTGGGGAAAGTCAAACCCAATGACAAAAGTTTTCACGATCACATCTCGAGTTTTACTTGGACTCTGGCCTTGTACATTTCATCAATCAATTCGTGCAGATTTACAGCCCTTTTTACAATGGTTAGTCTGACCAAGTAATTACTCGTATACTCTTGACCAAACTGAAATCTCTCGTATCATAACCCATCGCTTAACGTCTGCAATAAAATGAATTTTTAAGCATTTTACAAAAAAGTTCACGACAGTTTCTAAGTTTCTAACATCTAAAACGGGATCTGTGAAGGACGCAACTACCTTGCATTGTGATTCATCGCAAGTGTTTGTTTCCATATTATTTGCGCATAGTGAGAGTTCGCTGTTAATCATCATATCACTATAAAAAGGACTTCCAGTGGCTACAAGCACGCGCGAAATTTTAAAAGGTGATACGAATTTCACTATAACTTTATCATCCTTTTTCGGTGTTTGGAGCCAAGCAAAGCTTTCGTGAATGAAAGCTTTTTCTATTTCATGACCTCCTTCACATTTGATAGTTGTTTCAAACTCAGCCCTTGGTTTTGAGCCGCGTGGCTCTATAGCCATTTTAAATAGGAACTGACCACCTTCCTGAGAAGTTAATGGACACGACATTCTCAGATTTGCAAAGACATTTACGATTGATTGAGGGAGACGACCGCCGGGGAAAAGAGCCGCATAGTCAGCCAAGTCACCGACCAAAGCCTCAGAATAAAGCCGTCCTAAGGAGGGCAGCGATCGTTCTCCGAAATCGTGTGCGTAAAATGTAAGGTTTTTCTCTTCGATTTTGTTTACAACTTCCTTGATTACCGGCAAATAGGGTTTCAAAGCTCGGGCTTGATCGGTCAAAAGCAAGCAGTGCTTTGACGAACGGAAGCAGTACTCGAGGAGAAAACACAATCTTTTGTTGAAGGCCATTGTATTATTTTTTAAAGCCTCCGTTACTGTCAAATCACCCCATCCCGCGGGTTCTATGTTGACTGCCTCGTAAAATTCTCGCGTTGGATGTAAGACTTGAATAAGACCTTTGTCCAGTTCTTGTTCAAATTCGCTTTTGATGCGCTGTAAAAGAAGTGAATTGGAATCTCCTTCGAAAACCACAGCGAACACAATGTCGACATGCTCCTCTGTTGAAATGTGTTTTGTCAAGGAATAGAGAGCTTGTAGCAGGTTACTCTCTTCGCCTTTAGTTCCAACAATGCCGACAGTGAGGAAAACTGGAGAAAAATTGACAAAAGTCAGTAAATATATCTTATTAGACGTTTTGTTGTGTGGTTTCTCTGGGTATTTTTTAAACGAGTTGCGCCGTATTTTGACGAAATACAAATAACGAGTAAAAATGCTCAGCGATGCTAAACAACAAAACGTCTAATAAGTTATTTATTATCCAACACGCCAAATTGTTATTTCAGTGCGGGCGAACTTCGCGGATATTTATTTAATGGCACGTCAACGCGCCTAATGGAATTGGCGCGTTGACGTGTTGCTGATTCTATTTTCTTCAATAAATGAAGAAATTTCCAGGTCGTGTAGCTGTTTTTCTTCGTTCGATCATCTAATAAACTTGGATCAATATTTGCCAGCCATTCCGACTCTTCGCAGTCAAAAATATGATTCAAATTGTCCGCCATTTTTTGAACGCCCGAGAAATAGAAAGAAATATCCAAAGTTCTAGCAATCTTGGAGAAGACACAAATAGCAGAGTATCGGTTAATAAAACTGTCTTTGAAATTTCTCTTCGATTATTTTCTTTCTAACTTTACGCAAATCAGTGTACTCTGTTTTAGTAATTACAAAACTAAACCTTTTGAATTGCATCTTAAATCGAGATCAGATTCGCAAAATTAAGATGACTATCGCCCACTAATACCTTTCTGTTTTCTTTCCTTTCCAAGAACAAGTCCTTGCCTTATGTTCACGCCATCTAATACTCTCTTAGTGCAGTAACTCGATAAAGCTTTCAGCGGACACTGTTCAGCAGGTATACCAAGAATGCTGTCTGAACCATCGCATGTGAGCAACGATGAAGAGCTTCTGTAGTAAATATCTAGAGAGCGAGCAAAAGAAAAACGAAAAAACTCAGGAAAAGACCGCTTTCTTTACAATCTATTCAAAATATTAAAGAAGAACCGCAAAGTAATCGATTACATAAAGTTTTTATGTTGACAATTGTACGGATGATTTTGACAAAAATGCTGATTTGAATAAATCGCATTATAGTGAGAACGAAGTCAAATGTATGTCAACCTAAATCTGCACTTACTAACAAAAACAGGGGATTTGAAAAAAGATCTTTTTCGAAGAAGCATATTCTCGACGCGTATTTTTACAGGAGGCAAACTACATAGATCACTAAATAGAAGAAATAACTGAGGCATCACTTACGTTTAAGCACTACCATTGCGGCATTAAAAATAATGACTCCATAGAGAAAAACCGTGAAAAGATGCTGCTTCCACATTTTACGAAAAATTTCCCTCAATGAATTAGATGGAGTTTCCAAAAGAAAGTAAATCCAACAAGTTGACAAAGTAGAACTGCTGCCTGGTAATCGTACAAAGCCTGAAAAAATGTTCTCCACTTGAATTCTATTTTATCCTCCTAGTCGATAACGAAAACAGTATCAAATGAATTTAAATTATAGTCAAGTCGGTTGAAGGTGTCAAAACGCATCAAAAGATCTGTGTCAAGTAGAGTGTTATTCCAACAATCAACACAAAGGCAGTCGAAATTCGGTGAAAAGCTTCCACAACTGATTCAGTTTTCAGTATTCAATTTTAATTTCGTTTTACAAAGATACACGGTTACGAATATGTAATCCTTTAATTCTTTTAGAAAATAAATCGAGAGGACATGTTGCATGTCACTACGTTCTCCATCGCACTATGCGTTCTCCCTTTGCGTTTCGCGTTCGAAGCCTCTCACTAGAACGTTTTCTCTGCTGCTGACGTCATTCTGACGCACTTGCGTCCATCCTAAACAGGTTCCAAGAGCATTCGATAATTACACCGGAAATAGCTTTCAGGGCATTACTTCCGTTTAAGTAATAGCGTCAACACAAAGTAAACAAAAAGTTGTAACTTTTACTGACTGATAATTTACCGATAACGCGATTGACTAACAACTCATAGAGGCCATGCAGGTACAGAAATAAAGATCACAGAGTTGATAGTTTTAAGGTCATCAGATTGAAATCGATCATCACAAGCGTGCGTCAGATATGTGCGTTATTTCAAGCTAAAAAGAAATATTTTTGAACCGAAAAGAAACGGGCAAAGTTTTGTTTCAGAAATAAGGATGAAAAAACGAAGGAAACTTACAAGGTGAACTGACGAGTGCCTAGTACTGGCCACACAATTTGAGTTTATTTTAAATTAAGTTAATTTAAAAAAAAAAGTTATAAAGGTGTTTTACTTGACTTTTTCATTTTAGAGCAGAATAATTAAATTCTACCATAGCGAGTCTAACTTTGAGAAATGTGTGTCTGTATCTATATTATGATGAGGGAAGGAAGTTTAATTACGGTCAGGCCACCAGTGGCTCGGCGTTAATTAACTGGTAAGCATCAAGGGCATCTCATTAAAGTTAATGTCACCATTTCACTGCCTTCACTCAATCTACCTTGACATTTTGTTTGAGATTGCACTAGCATGTTGTTGTTCGCGGGAAAAAAATAAGTGAGACTGAAGTGAAAGTCCGTTTCCTTTGAGCACGAAGAGTTCTCAGGAAACGTTTGCATTGGAAACAAAGGAGTAATGAGTTGAGGTTTTGTGGTTTCTTGTTGCACGGAGTTGTACAAACTTCGGCATTGCAAGCCAAAAACTTGCCTTGCACTGAAACGTTTAATGGATTGGAACGCTGACGAAGTTGCGGACTGGTTAAAAGAAATACGGCTTTCAAAGTATGCCAAGAGATTTAAAGGTAAATTCTTTCTGACATAATTAATCCAGCTCTTCTTGACATCAGGCACACTGACTCAATGAGCTGTCCTTGACACTGAGTGCGCAGATTGAAAGTTTTCGGTTATTCAACTTAAACCGAATGATATTAGCCGAGTAAAAAACGCATCAAGTTCGAGGAGGTCATGCAATATCGTTTGTTTTAAATGTTTTGACAGAAATCCTTTGTACTGTTGTGCTGTCGTACAAAGATGCGAAAGTTTTGCTAAGTTTTCGGCGAGCTTGTATAGTCTGTTCTCTTTTAATTATTCACTGTGGATTTCTTGTAGGATATTTTGTCAATGGAGCTGTTTTGCTCCAAATGGATGATAATTTTCTTGGTGAGTACTTGACGACTAAAATTGAGCCTAGTTCCTACAACTAAAATTATCACAGTTTCATATCTTTAATATTTCATCAAGTTTTTAGCCTACATTATAATTTGATTGATTCTACTAGCTGGCAAAATTTGATAATTATCAACTGACCAAACACATAAATATAGCAGAAGTTTAGCCTGATAAACAAACATACATTAGAAACCACAACACAATTATCCACAACATAATATTCAAACAGTATTTGTATTTAACTGCTCTATAGTTCGCCGGATATAATAGTGTCTGTCTTTTGGAGAGCTCTTGATCGATAGATCGGAAATCTCTGCGTTGCCTTAGTGAAGCGACGGTGCATATATCATGATAGAAATGTTGTAAAGTTTAGATGTTCTGATGCGAGAGAACACGAACTTTAGCTTTTGTTTATACTCTTGGTTGCTCGCGATATTGTGTCAGAGAATCAAAGTGAATCTTTTTATCTCCAAGTAAGTATTTCGTAAGATGCTCTTATCAAGCAGTTTTGCTTACTAATTAACAACAGCAGGAAAAATAAACAAGTTTTCCTCACTTTACCACTACGTAGCATAACAATTAAGTTTATTTATGAATCTGTGACTCTGTAATCTTTCTGCTCTCTTTTGTTTCATCTTTATGCTGCGTCAAAATGGGCAGAAAGTCTCAACAATAGATCGACGGCTTAATTCCACTGAAATCTAATTTCTTTTGATCCTAGCTTATAAAATGTTTTATGCTCCACTTAACTAAACTACAAATTAGCGACTACATGCAAATCAAGAGAAGTCACGACAGTTGAAATTTTGTTGCAATTACTGGGCACATCTGTGTTTATAACTTTTCTTCTGTAATGAATAAACGCTTCCTTTCACAGTCTCTTAAGGAACAGATGAAGACACTGTTGTAACGAAACGCTTCATCCACGAACAAAGTTTAATAAACAGTTGAGAGAAAGAACAAATTGGACTTGTAGTTCTAGTTATATCAAGATCCTGTCAAAACCTAGAATAAATAAAATGATTTTTAGTAAGGGCTCATCAATTCTAAAAAAAAATATTTGAACCCTATCAGAAAATGACACCTGTTTACAAAACAAATCACTGACCTATGCATCATTTGAAACGCCTTGATCGTCAGGAATGACGTAGCAATTTTCCGATCATGAACTTGAGCACTTCGCTCGTCTACTTATCCTCATCTACATCAATGGCTTAGGAGGGAGGAAGGTTAAGGAGTGGGGGGGGAGGGGTGGGTAATAAGGCACTCCCCTAGTTCTTTCTGACGGGTATGTAGTGCTAAATAGGGTATGGCTTGGGGATCAAAAGAATTAGACAAAGCATACCAGTTTATTTTTAGCGCTTACTTTTTAGGTTTTTTTTTTTTTTTTTTTTTCTGGACTTTGAGCCCTCAATAGAGAGTGAATTTTGTCGGCTAAAATTTCCTAAGACCCATCCCCCCCCCCCTTGCTTCGTAAACTACGACCCAGCTTAGGTGATTTACCTAACACTTTCCTTAAATATTTATTCAGCCATAAAACCACAGAAAAAAATCGTCATTTGTTCAGTTTTCCCTACCAGAGCAAGATTGTACTTTCAGCCATTGACATTGTTTCCTTCAGAAGCTCATATCAGTTTGTAGTCAAAATCTAAAACTGCTTTGTAAGATCCTTCAGATGTGTTTGGTGGCTAAATTCGGATCTCCGTTATGAGCACTTTTCCACTGAAAGATCAAGAATTTACCCGTGGTATCGGCTAAATCTTCAGTGTAACTAAGTATGAGAAAGGACATATATTCGTACAAAAAAAAAAAAATAGATACAAAATCGAAAAACTTGGTTTAATCTGTCTCTACTCTTTCTCCAGATGACCTTGAGGTCACAAATTGTAAGGACAGGGAAATTCTCCTGAAAGAATCCTCCAAGCTTGCCTCGATAAAAAGTAAACAGCCGGCGGTGCCCATTGGAAGAGACTTTGCAAAAAATACACAAACCTTATCAACTCCACTCATTACTGTCAGCAATTTTGATGACGATGACGATGAACAAAAATTAATTGTCGTGTATGGCGACGATCAGCGAAGAGCCCATACTGAATACAGATCAAATGAAAAATTGCCGCTGAATCAAAGAGTTATAAACTTCAAGCATAGCGTTGGAGGACAATCAGTGAGCGATGATAGCTCTGACAGAGATTTTAGTCTTACAGACAGTCACAACAAACACCATTTTGGTAAGAGAAATGTAAGGGACTTGCATTTTATAAGTCTGTATTTAAGTATCGATTAGTGAACAATCACCGGAAGATTTTACACATATTGTGGACCTATTCCGTAGGGGGAAAAACCCCAGCCTGCGCCTGTTCCGTCCCGGAAGGGTATCAACCCACAGGTGCCCCTAGAAGAACTCAATGATATGAGAGAACCCAAAAACACCCGACACAAATAGACTGGGTCGAGAGTACATTTTGGAGTCATCAAAGGTCTACAAATAAGGCGAAAAATCTTCCATTCGTGTTGATAGCATTATCGTGCAGATTATCATAGTTATTATCATCATCACTGTCTCTTAATGCCGGCCAAATGACAAGGAAACGTGAAGAAATAAATTTGGAGGTTACCTATGATTTATGAGCATCCCTTTCCATCCTAGAGGCGTAGCAATACTTGTTGTTGTTTAATATTAGCCACAAATAAGGGGATAACTCCAGCGGTATCGGTCGCTTGGCTCCTTTAAAGATTTAGCTAACACATGCATTGTCCCTTTCCTGCAGATATCTGTGATGAAGATCCAAACAGGCCAGTTGATCCGACGCCAACAGCATCAGCAGTTGCCACAAGAGCCACTCAAATGGTTGAACTGTTATCAAGTGATAATGTTGCATTACGAGAAAAACTGCAAAGTGTTTACTATGAAATGAGTAGAATGCAAAAGGTAAGGGAAGAAAAAGTCTCGCTTACGGTTTGCAATGGCACAACCCGGGCACATACTTTAAACACGAAGGCGCGCTATAAAAGGAGCCTTAGGTCCCACTGGACCATTTGTCAATCAACCGTCGTGTGATGTAGAAGTGTTAGAGTCGAGTCAACTTGAGCTACAGCTACTCCAAAGCAGTGAACAACGGGCGCATTCCTCAAAATTGCTTTATGTCTTCATCACAATACAAGAATTTTTGAGATTTGTATTTCCTTTCTCCAATGGAAACTGTCTTTATTTGTGGCGGTAAATTTGAGATCGAAGTCGGTGGTTCGCACGTTACCTCATGCCACCATGCTGGTGGAAGTAAACAATAGATATCTCATCAGCTCCTTTTGTTCGTCTACCAGCATTTCAATTTGACCCGCACACGTCAACGGTGAGTAACAAATGAGCCTAGGTCTTCCCAGGGAAGACTTCCTTATATAGCGCGCCTTCGTGTTTAAACCCTCGGGATTGCCCGTTCTATTTCCCATAACAACACAAAGTTACTCGATGCCTGCTTATACACTTCGTAACATTTGATAAAATTTTGTTCTCTGCACAAAACAAGTTGCGGCAACAGAACCACAAAACACACCAACAGCATGTCTTGTGTATGGCAAAAACAAAGAAAAATAGATATATTTTTTTAACTACACTAGGCACTGAAGTGAAATTTCGTGAGGAAATCTTTTGAACAGATAACGAGTCCTCTGTTGACCAAAGTTACGTTGAGGTCATAATCATTGGAAGTTGACGTCTCCTTTTGCCTTTTTTTAGTGTCTATAGGGTCCACTACTACGTCTCGGTCCAAAAAAAGAAAAACAAAAATAGCCAGTATACGTAATTACGACCTCAACCCAGGTTAACAATAAATTTATATTGCAGGTTGAAAGTGAACTTGAGATCTTACGCACTGCATACGAGGAACTACAAATATCGTTTAGGAAACGAGAAAATCTGGAATATAGCACAAGAACACGAATAGAAACGGAGATGAAGAAACTTCGAGAAAGAAACAGGAATCTAAAAGGTGAGAATCATGTGGGTTTCAAACAGATGTGTATTGTAAATTAAAAGTGAAATTTCCACAATTTGTTTGGTATCAGCTGTATATTTATAACGACAACTTCACTGAAATGCCATGCCTTGTAATAATAGTGTATCTCTCGCCAGCGCAAAAAAATTTAAAACATGATAGAAAGCAAAGAAACCTCTGTAAAATCTGCTAAATGCAGAAATATTCTCAAGTTAGGTTGATGTGCAATGATCGTTTCGAAGTTAGAAGATGGATATTTTTACAGTTTTAGTATGTTGTAAACGCTGTCGGCCTGTTCTTTCTTCATGCAAAAAAACATGCATCAAACATGAAAATATTGTTTAGATTTTCTTCGGTAAACTAACTACAAATACGAATGAAATTGATAAACAGTTTTTCTACCTAAAAATCTGTTATTCATGCAAATCTACAAACAATATTGAGGGTGAAAATGTTTTAAAAACTTATCATTTTTTAAGTCTTAAGTGGAGACGGCAACGTGCTATTAAATGGCACAGACAGGTTTATATTAAAAGCGAATTTAAAATATTGAGAGAATATTTGCGATATTTAAGAAACTTGTTAAAGCCGACATCTATCACGATTGAAAAATCAGAGATAAGATCACGTTAGGTTCATTTGTTTCTCTTCCCCAAGCAGAATTCTACTTCTACGAGATTTAATGAGATTATAAAAAAGCACAATTTTTTCTCTAATGACCGAAAGCAAAGCAATAAGTTCTCGTCATATTGTAGAAGTAATATGCATATAAGTTCATATGAAAGACTGACTTGTTGACGTTTCTAGTAACAATTTGATGTTTCATTTGATCCGTCTGTTGTTAAAATCTCTAAGGAAAGTAAAAAAAGGGCGCCATAATTAGCCGATATAAATCGATGCATAACTTAAGCTGATAAAGCTCGCTAACAGGTAATTAAAGAGATAGAGACAAAATTAAGTAAGATTTGTTTATATTGATCCAAGCTGCGGAATTAAAGACCCTGTTAATCAAGTCGAGAAAAAAAAAAAAAACATGAACTGATTGAAGAACGATACTTCCATACAAATACGTTTTCGTTGTCAAAACTAGGTTTGAATGGGAAAAGTTTGGATGTCCCCTCTACTAACTATGGATGTAGTTAGCGATTTCAGTACTAATAACGTTGTTGTCGATGTTTGTACCGGGTATGGCAGCAGTCACATTGTTATCAAAACATATTCCTCTTAATATTCTATCAACAGCTGAGCTGGAGAAATGTAAAAGTGAAGTCGAACAAGGAAAGGTAATTTATAAAAACATCATAAGTTTCAACGACATGTAACAGCATAATCATAGATGTAGTCGAAAACGAACCCAGGTTACCAACCTTGTTCACAGCTTTTCTTGTACTCAATAAGCCGACAGCAAGGTAACCTTTAAGTGGACTAAGAGCATATATTAGTACGTGTATTAAATATATTTTAGCACCTTAGACATTCATTATAACGAGTGCCTTGTGTCACTTTCTTTTCCATTTTTTACAGAATTCATTGGAGAACTTCAAGAGGGAACTTAAACTCAAGAATGAAGTCATACGACAGCTCATATGTCAAAGTAATCTCACTGATAAATTTTTTTAATAATATCATAGGTGACAAATTACTCCTTAATTTTGGCACGAAATTTCAGCGTTAATCTTTTAATTTCACATGTGAAATTACAAAATTGCCATGGTAACATCTCTTGTATCTCGATCAGACCAAGATGGCGTCTAGATTTAAGGTAGTGACCCTTGAAGAAGTTACGAAATTAAAAGAAGCGGCCGAAAATTTATATACGCGAAAGAGTACAATTAACTGGGTGCGAGTTTTTGAGAAGTGTTGTGACAAAAATAGCCTTGAGAAAAACCTGGAGATGATTCTTCCCGAGCAGTTGGATAAAGTACTTGAACGATTTTACGCCTCCGTGTGTAAACAAGACGTAATTTGCCACCCACAATATTAAAAGGTAATCAAACGGTTTTCTCTTGAAATTAGGAAATAATTTCACGCGCGTTTTGTCAAAATTGTGATAATTTCTCGCGGGAAATTATCAGAATTTTGACGAAACGCGCGTGAAATTATTTCCTAATTTCATTCGTCGCCATTTGATTACACATACTAATTTTTAAATTGAGTGTTGCAAGTACTCCTAGATTGCTTCGGTTCTGCTCCACTACGATCTGTGATTGGTTTTGAAAATTTGCGCTAATCTCTCCATTAATCAGATACAAAACTAATGCCAGTCGTTTTTTCCCGCGCTTTAAGCTGTTTCCTTCTTCAATTAGAGTTCATATTGGCTCCCGCGGAGCTTCTGACATAATCTCGTAACCAAGTCTCCCACAGTCACACAGGCAGGACTGAGTGCGAAATTACTCCCGAAGTTGCCTGGCAATCAGATACACCTCATCCCTTCTAGTCGTTTACCCCCATTCCTCTCCCCTGAGCACATGTACCAAAGAGTTTCATGAACATCTTTGTATTTCGCAGACGAGGTTGAGCATGTTATATAATAATAATAATAGAGCTGCTACAGAAAATCATAAAAGAACTAGTTGGTAAAAACATTTCATTTGTCTGTACTTAGATAGCAACTTCATTTCAACGAGAGAAGAGCTGGAAGGCACAATAAATCAACAGAACACACAAATAGGAGAACTAGAGAGGGACAAAGATCTGTTGAGTTCATCGCTGGCACAAAGTCGAGAAAGAATAACATGTCTTCAAAATGAGGTGCGATTCAACTTTTCTTCCAAAACGAAATCATGACGTGTTCTAATTGATTTGGAGCTTAAATCACGTATTACGTATTAGTTAACTTTGGTCGAGAAATACAATTTTTCTGTTGCAGCTCGAACAAAAGTTGCACACGAATTACGTGAGCTCGACAGGGATGGCAGATGGTCTGCACGTGACGGAAAGTAACCCAGTTGACGAGGGGTCGGGCTCGACAACTGCTGACGAAATAAGAACACGTCACCGTCATTCAATCTCAGCTGATGAAGGTATAGCAGAGTTAGATGGGCCAACAAGTATTCCTGTGTTACTTGAAATGTTAAGAGAGAAAGACGAAAGGATTCAAGTGCTGGAAGATAATTTATCACGGGTAATTGTCCACGTGAAAATAAAATATTATTTTTCATGCATAAAACTTTTTAAAAAGAATTTGTCCGTAGGAAAATGGTGACTGAACCTTCGTCATTTTTCTTTCAGCTCGAACAAACGTTAATGCAAGAAGGCACATCAAGGAGTTTGGCCATTAAAGCTGTATCTGTCCCAAAGTAAGTTTATTCTTGCACAATACATTCAAAAGGCAAGCATAATTTTCCATAGATAAGTCATAGCTCTAAAAATTAAGGCGAGTGCGAACTAGTATTAGGAATCATGTACCCACAGTCCCTCTATTGTTTTTTGTTTTTTTTTTTAATTCAGGGAAGCACGGATAGTGGCACTGGAAAAATCGATCCAAGAACGCGAAAAGATTATCGCTGAGTGTAGAGCAGAAAATTTAAAATCCGTCGAAGAACTTTACGTGGCCAACAGGCGCTGTGCTGATTTAGAATCCATGTGAGTTACTGTTAGTCTTAGAATTTTTCTTACCTTTCATCGAACAACATTATTTATACCCCAAAAAACACTAACCTTTAATATTCCACTGTCTTCAACTTAGAATAAAATCCCTTCACTCGCAGTTGGCGGAGAAAACAGCAAGAATACACATTCTTCAAAATAACAACAGCGATGAACTGAGTGAACCTGAATGGCCACTAGACCCAGCCTACTGTCGGACAGACTTCGTCCGAATGAGAGAACTGGCACGAGATTCTTGTGAGTAAACGTTACCTGAACCTTAGGCGCATACCTTGCTAACTTGAGATCTAGAAACCTCAAGAGAATGGTGAAAAATTGTTGATACATTCTATCTGTTTTTAGATGCAGAATCACTTGATTCCGGAATGTCACTTACTAATGCACTAGATGCGAAACAAACAGATCCTGAATTCAAGGTACAGTAAAAAGAACATATCAAATGATCCATGATCGGTGTGACAAAAACATTCAAGTATTTCAACAGATTTTCATTAATGGAGCCCAGATTTGAACTGGAAATGAATTCTTGCGATAATCAGGTGGATACTGCCCGTACCCGGGAACAGCTTTGAAATCTGTAACTTTATAGGCGGGACAGTATATAAAACTACGAAAGAACCTTTTAATTTTGTCTGTTTTGCTATTCATCTCTACAGACAATGGACGAACCAGATGAGCTATCAGTTCACTTTTGGTCTGTGTAGCAATTTAGGTTTGGAAAGGATAAGTGGACATAGAAAATACCACTGCGGACTTCATCCGAGTGTCTTCTTGGATATTTGAGTCAAAGATCTTTTAAAACCAGCTAATTTTTTCCGTTGAACAAATGTAGACCTTTAAAAGCAGAGCTTCACCCAAAATTCAAGGAACAAGAGTGAAAACAAAACAAAAACCCGCCTCTGAAACCAAGTGTATCAGGTGGCTTGAATCTTAGTGAAACTACACAAAAAGACGAAGTGTAATTTTAAGTTTTGGCCAGTTTTAAAGGGGAAATAAACACATTCATCTGTTTGCAAGTTTCATATAGGTTGGCGATTGTTCTCGCATGAAACAAAATGGCAACTCAGTTACCAAGAAAGATTGCATAATTATGAATTATACAAAAGAAAAGTTAGATAATCATACTTTTAAAAATATACGAAAACCTTTACTTCCTAATACCAATATTGTACAGCAGCATCGCATTAAAAACTGTTATTGCCAATTGGGGGAAGACAGATCATTGTGTTTTAATTCGTTATCAATTCTTGATGAATTTTCTTGTGACGAAATATTCTGTTACAGTCCCTTTAAAGAAGACCAACCCATTTAGGAGTCCCCAGTTAGAAGGGGTTGATTTGGACAATGTTCTCTTGGGACACTATGCAGTGTCAATGCAATGCCTCATGTCAGATGCGGGAGAGGGGGGGGGTGGGGAAGGAGGGCTCAATTTGTTTGCTTTGCGAGTGGTATATCTCTTCTTCATCAAGGACATTGGCTGTGAAGTAGAGCATCCTATCATAGGATAAGTTGAACGCATTTTCTAAGAATTCTTCTTAATCGAGAGCGCCCTGGGTTTTGTCTTTCTTGATGTACAGGCTCGTCCAGGTTTTAGGGAATTTCTTTTCGATCGCAGTCTATCGGCGCCAGGTGAGCGACTACCTTCTCGCTTTGCCATATCCTTTTCCAAGCTCGCTGAAAAGCAAAACATTATCTAAGTAGCGATGATCTCTTGGTAACCTGTAGGTAATTTAAGTCTTGGTTACCGGTAGGTAACTTAAGTATAATACAACATTAGGGAAATTCATGGTCTCTTCTCCCACCCACCCCACCCCCTTGCATTAGTGAAACCCTCGGTACCTCTTTTACCGCTTGCCAGCATGACAATTTTCTGAGTGAAAAAAGCAAGTCTGAAAACTGACTCAGTGCAAAACATGATTTTTTCCCCTATCGTGTGTTTTTGTGTCTTAATAAAGGATATTTTGGTTCAATAAATTACCTAAAAAATGGTCCGTGATAACAGATTTATCCCTTAGAAGCGGTTTGTAAAATGCTCTTCCATTTTCCTCTGAAAAGATAAATAACAAGCTGTTATTGAAGTACCTATTGCTAGCTTTTGTTTTTTCGGAATAAATTCTAAATACCTGGAAATAGTAACATTAACCTTGCCATGGATATAGTATAACTTACTTTCCATCTGTATAAGGACGTATTTTTCTCTGGGTTTCAGGAAATTTGTGGCATAAGATTCTTGAGGCTGATGTTGAAGGTATTTTGGATAACCAGCTACTTCACAAAGATCCACTTCAGCTGAAGAAAAGAAAGACAGAATCCATCTCAGCTTCTCCATCGTCGATCCTCTTTATTCATTCTTAACTATTTTTTCAGTATTGTCTTCCTTATAACATACCATTATTTTCGAAATTCCTCAATGGAAGTATACACTTTGTCATGGCAATACAAAATAGTCGAAATCTTGTGTTTTGATAGGCTGACACAAGCCACCTCTTCTTGCCATTATTATACATTGTAGTCACCATCTGTCTTTTCAATGGCTAAACGCCCACAGTTAATTCTGGGAAACAGTGCAACCTACAGATTATTCACTAATCTGTACCTACAGATTAGTGAATAATCTGTATGTTGAGCGCGCAATGCACGATTTCCAGTGGAGCAATGTCAAGTTCACGGACAGCAAAGTAAGAATGGCTTCTCGATTCGCTTCATCGACCCAGCGAGAAATTGAGAAATTACTTGAAATTACTTGTATTCGGAAAATACTAAAATACTGACAAAAGTGGCGAAGGAAATGTTCAACAAATACCGCAAGGAGAAAAATATCCAGGAGCCAGACTACAAAGAGGAATTAGCCCAGGTGAAAATTTGTTTACCACACAGTTGTACATTTTTAAGTGTTCGAAAATAAACTGTGTTCGCTGCGATAATGCGTTTGGCGTTAATTCCTTTAAGATAATGTATAATAAAACAATTATTGGATTCGGTTTTTGTGATATCCGGAATAATCAAGGTCTCGGTTACTGTTCAGCCGAAGCCGAAGGCTTCGGCTGAACACTAACACTTACCTTTTGAACAATCCTAGCCACGCCCAAGTAGATCGAGTATAAAAGAGTGCTTTTCGCAGATACATACGTGATAAAAATCACCATGAAAAATAAACTCGTTTTTATCATACTACATGAGTAGATTTTCCCTTAAATATTCCAGGACCACTGCGGATTTCTATGGACAAACGATTTTGAAGTTGAAATATTTGAGTCCCAGCAAAATATGATTGTAACAAACACCTCACCTTGCACTTCACACTTGCACCGCTTGTTGATACAATCTAACAGCAGCTTGAGCCTGCAGTCTGTGTTAAACAGTGCTTCTTCTTGTTCTGCAAAAATGGTAAGTAAGGGCTGTTACTGTGGGCTGTTACGGGGCTCGATGCAGCAAAAACTCGTTCCCAGGACGCTCTCACAGATAATACTTCGTTAGAGTATTCAAATTTCGTGACTTAACTATACTGTAGATACCGTTAACGATACTAAGCTGCAAATTTTATCGGATTATATTCATAAAATTAGTTCTAATCCGCAAAAGAGATCATAGAAAGACATTAATAAACGCGTAAAAGTATTCAATGTCCTAAAGAGTGTAAATATATTTGTTAGTAATGGTAGTTTTAATTGACGATCTTGCTAAATCAGTGGTACATTTTCTTTAAGATTTTCTTAAAAATGTAACTTTGTTAAAATAGCCTTACTCTAAGTATAAAACTATTCAAAACCCCAAACAAGAAAAAGAAAAACTTAAGAACATGAGTAAGTGTTGTTTTAATACCAAGAGAATCGAGAGGCCATGCAACTCTAACAAAACATAAAATGTCCAAGTTAACATCGTCGAGAGTTACTGGAACATTTCGTTCCGCACGGTTAACAAAATTTTCATCCTGTCTAAAGAATACTTCAGATATCTGACAACAGTACGGCCACGTTTTAGCGACTTCAGCTGACACAACGTAGTCTAACCTCTCCCTGCTGTGTGTTCACGCATTTAACAACAAACAAATTGACAGCTTTAAAACGAGAGTTGTCGTGCGAGATCCTGAAAACTTCACTGACGAATTATTTTTATCTGACAGACTTCAAATGTTATAAAAGCCTTTTAGATATTTGATTAATTTCTGTCTGCTTTGAAAATCCTTGATAAAATTGTCCATCACCTATGAGAGAAGCTGCATTTATGTTGCATGTCTGAGCACTAGATACCTTCACTGATAAAGCTGCAGACTTACCCCCATACACAACTGTAATAAACATTTTTCTCAGGGCCTCACCAGGTGCCTCTTATTAAACTAATTTCATCCGACAGGTTTAGGATCTTAAGTAATGTAATTAAGTTTGGAATCTTCACTTGCTAACGAGGTGCTAATTAATTTTTTTGTAAATGTTTTTTTTTACAAAATTGTTTTGGTCTACGAAAGCTTGAAAGAACATCGATCAATTTACAGATTACGAGGAAACAGAAATTCATCGAATATTGACATTAGCTTCCATAAAATGTGTCTTTGATGAAGGCTAGTCATATTTCTTCACTAATTCTTCCTGCTTTTCTGCGGCTAAATCGATTTTGACTTTGTGAAACTGTTTTAATCATTTAAATTCCAAAAAGATTAAAATCGAGAGTGGCGCCAAAATACCTGACAAGTCATCTGAGAAAACAATATGAATGTCACTTGTCAAACCGAGACATCAGTGTAAGTGATTTTTCTCTCAACTGCGAATCAATTTGTGATATTGAAGGCGAAGACGGCGGTAGAATTGATAAAGACTAAATAACCTTAAAGGTAAGTTGAGGAAAGTGTACTGCCCACTTTCCATCGCTGATAAGTAGAGGCCATCGAATAAAATCCATAGGTAGGGACAAAGGTCAGCGAACTTAAAATACTCGACTTATATAAAAGATTTCGATATTATTGTCATTTGTGTTGTCCTAGTAACTACTAATGTCCTTCCCAGATTTCCCATGGTTAGGTCGCATTTGGAAGCCGCAGGAACGAGCGAAAACTGGTAACGGTTTTCACGAAGGTAATTCTACCAGCTGTAGATGATTTGCAAAGACTTCCCTTCTTTTCCTTATTCATTCAGAAGAGCTGTTAATATTTTCTTCATGATTAAAAGGAGAACGCTTTTTTCTCAGGTCCTGTATACCCAGAAAGTTTAATCCACAGAATTTACCTTGCAGCACATACTCAAGTGCACATTCTGGTACATTAGTGGGTATCTTTAACAGTTAAAAAAACACAACTGAAAGCCTTATCCTCATTGGTAACGAGAGATTTTTAAGAGAGGGTTGAAAAGGGCGTGCGGGGCAGGGTAGGATTCTAAGAAGTTCGTCCACTAATGAACTGAAAAGTTTGATTGGCTGGTTCCGTTAACACTTGCCTCCTAGGTCGCCCGTCTTCCTTTTTCCGTTCGTTCATCAATTTTCGCATCCGTGCGAGGTGTTCCGGCAGCCGGGTGGTGGATATGGTTAATTGGGAAGTAGAGTATCTCTTTTCCTCGTTTTCTTTATTTCTTGGAGAGATATCCTCTGTCCAGCGATTTATTACCGGTACAGCAACGTCAACTTTATTTCCACGGGACGTCCCAATTCTACGAGAGGGAGGGGTATTAATATGTGCGGGATGTTTGCCTTTTCCGGCCATTTTGGAGCGTCCTTTGGCTGCCACGACAGTATTTAATTGAGCCGTTCCGCTTGTACTCGAGGGATCGACTCTAGATGAGGATTTTCTCTTTGTTCCGTTTTTCCGAATCGCAAATGTCGAACTCATGTTAGAGTCTCTTTCTGTCTCATCATGGTGTTTTTCCATTTTACGGGAGGTCGTTTCTGTTTTTTCCAAGCTGATGTAAGATTCCCCAAAAACATTTTTCTCCCACCTCATATTTGAGTTTAACATAAATGCATGATTTTCTTTTCCGCGAACATATTTCTCCGAATTATCGCAATTTTTATTAAAAGCTTCTTCCGTTCTACTTGTACCAGGCTTCTCGTTCGACCCACTTAATCGGCCAACCGTGATGTTGCGGAATTTTTGTTCCGCTCGCTGGTTCAACTGAGGACTGTATCTATCACACTGTCTACGTTCTATTTTAACACGGAGTTTATTCTTCTACCTCTCAAGGGTTCTACTATCGATCTGATTACAGTGTACGTGCACTTCAGTTCTTTTTTGCTGTCTTACACAATACAGTACTATAATCTATCACATGCACAGCTTACAGTAATATAACTATCGTACGATATATCAAGCCTAATTCACATGATCCCTTCCTTATTTGGTTCAATTAGCGCGTGCAAAGTACATCACCTGATAAACTGTGCACTAAGTTCAATTTACTGAGGATTGATGCAATCTATCACGTAATCGTTTAACTAATTCCTTTTACAATTAATATTTGACTTATTATTAATGAGCAACTAACTTATTCCCGACACGTGACACGTGTTTCCTCCCGAGCCTTACGACGAGCGGTTTTCATGACACTACAACGATCACTGACAAGTGTCACGAAACTTGCCCCGCTAAGAAAAATTGTGTAACCATTATGGCTTTCCCATTGGACAGCACAGATGAACTCATACGACAAATAAACATACCTGCAACAACAGGAAGTCGAAGTCAGCTAAAAATAGAGATGTGTTTGTTTGTAAAGCGCTTAGCTACGGAGGAATTCGGCACTCCCATGCTCAGTTCGACATGCGCGCGTGAAAATCCCCGATTCGTCGTGGGTCCCCGTAATGTTGGCAGCACGAGAGAGCGAGGTGTTCTGGGTAGTAACAGAGTGAGCTACCTACACTTTCCCCATCACTCCTTTTCTCCCGCAACAAACTTTCGTGATGCGTATAGCACAAAGATTACTGGCGACGAATCAACGAAAATAATTGCCTAGCAGCTCTTCACAGATGGTTTTTAGCGCGCTTGTTGTTGTTGTTTTTTTTTCAAAGAACTTTGGAAGAGTTTTTTTTTTTGCGTTTTTTCTCTCTGATTATCTATTTGAGATTCTAAGCGATGCGTAGGAATTTTAGAGCTAGTTAAAGAGATTCTCCTTGGAGCTACTTCCGACGGTAACCGAAAACACATGAATAAAATACCGTTCACGAACAAGGAGAGAAACGAATTCCGATTAACGTGGAGTCAGAAAAATGGGAGGAGATAAACGAAGGGAGTCGTGAGATGAAGGTGGCATCAACAACAAATCCACTGAACGGGAAAACTAGACTCTAGAATCAATGAATGAAAGGCTGGACTGAGGGCGCGAAAAACTTGTTTACTAAAAAGTGATTGCATAATACTTACACACTTGTTAATCATTGAGAGAGCCACAATTCTACAAACCTTGACCAACCAAATGCAGGAAGAATCGCCACAAATAAAGCATGTATCCAAATGGAAACCAAAGCAAACCTTGCTCTTCTGATGGTTAACCAATTTCTTTCTGTACTGGGGTGGATACACAATATTGCTAACCATCTATCAACAGATACTGCTGTGAGTCTCAGAACAGAGGTCAAACAGAACAGTGAGTTGGTCAAGCCACTTATTGTACTCAGAGATTCACCAAACAACCACTGATTGTAAAAGGCTGAAGCAGCTATCAGAGGCATCCCAAAGACCGACTGCAAAAGATCTACCACCGCGAGATTTGCGAGTATTCCAATTTCATCCCGCAACGATTTGTAAAGGATTATCACGAATAATGTCAGTCATAACGTTTCCAATCAAACCGATTATGATTATTCCGCTTAAAATGATTCCCGTGATAAAACCGATATCAACCGGCATAATATGCCATAACTATCTTACCAGCACAGTTAACGACGCACATAAATAATTACTGCGCGAAGTAAATTAGCTTTGTGAAAGGGGATAGATGATGAGAAGAAATTAAGTAGTACTGAAAAGAGTCAGTTGTTGTCACTCTGCCATGCAAAGAAACCATCACCGTCTTCCGATGTGTTCACAAGTCCTGTGAGCCTTTTAACATCATACATAATGTACGTCACTAATCGGATATATCTTTGTCCCAAAGAAAAATGTAAGAGTGAAAAAAAATGTTCTTGATGTCTTACGTGTTTTTTCTGGCTCTATTTCCTTATTTCTCTATTTCAAAAAAGACCTCTTATAAATAGCAATGAGTTATAACAAGTACCACTTTAAAACGAAACATCCACGCTTGCTCAAGTACGTGATCGTGAAGTTTACCGCTTTCGTTCCCAAGGTCATGGTTTCCAATCCAGTTGCACCTCTTTTTCATTCTCCTTTCTCTTTTGGATGAAATTTCGAAATAACATTGCAAAAGGACGGAAAATGGTGTTGTCAGATAAGACAGATGTCAGAAATGGCTTTCTCGACTTCAAAAACTGCTTGCATGCACTCATCTTAACCCTCCGAGAAGTGAAAAATAATTATAACTATAGCTAATCGATTATTGTTAATTTTTTGTGAAAAGACCACAAACATCGGAATTAAGGAAGTGGTTTTCTTCTGGTAGTCTTGGTCATTTTTTTTTCAATAAAACAATCTAAATTTTACATTTAAAGTATGAAATTATACTTTTGTGCATCATGTTTTCCTCGCCGAAGTGAACGCTCGTTTGTTTAATATCGTCAAAACGTGTTGTCAATGCTTTTCGATTTTTTTCGTGAAAATGATCTTCAAGCAGCTGCTAAGTTACGTAAATTTGCGTTTCCAGTCTACAATGAAACATAATCTAATGAGATCAACAAAAATATTTTAATATCCTCGTTTAACTACAACAGAACAAGGAGAACGAAGGTGTTAATAGAAAGAAAGCGTGGGCTGGTGAGAGGGAGCTGGAAACTAGGACACTACACCGAGACGAGGCGAGAAATAGGGTCCACTATTCCCTCGCGTAAGGGAGAAAACACTAGTTGGCGGCTGTAATTCGCCTTGCCTCATACTCATTCGCAGAGTTCTCGTTTCTTTTAGTCACATGGTCGACCGAACAAGAGACAATAAGAAAAAATGAGAGGCTCTGGGAACGAGAATGGTTCGCCCTATGTACATATCATTTCTATTTTAGTAGTAAGCGCAGACTCGGTGTGATAGCGAGGGGTACACTTTCAAGACAGATCATCGTAACGCTGAAAATATGACATTTTCAGAACCATCAAACACGGGAAGGGAGTCAACATTCCGTACAAGTGACTATCGTGGTTGTTAGACGCAATTCGGGATCAGTTACCATCTTTAGAAACTAGTGAGGTATTGCTACTCGCCAATCTAATGTAACTTTGAGACCTTTCAAGAAATGCAGCTGACAAGCCCGTTGGCGGAAACATCAACCAATCACAATCGCGCCTCGACATCCCTGGGGATCTATTGCGAGCCGCAATTACACGGGAACCTAAATCGACGTCTTTCTTGAAAAGAGCTCTCGTATAAAACAAGATGGTAAGGTTTCCAACAAGTGCGCAAATAAGGGGGTTTACCCGCAGTCTGACCAGTTTCTTCTTGTTAAAGACAGAAGATCTGAAGATGCATCTTACAGATGTTACAGGGTTCAAGTTCTTTTGCTTCCTTCTCGCAGCTTGTGCCACTCGGAGATGAACCAGCCCCGTTTTTGCCATATGTAATAACTGCCGTATTTTAGGTATAGCCTGTTGAAAGAATACAAAAAAAAAAACCAGTTTGATCCTGTTGAACGACTAGCCGAAAACAAGCACAACTGGTTTGCTCACGTGAAAGGAATACTGGAAAAACAAGTTAAAATGGTTTGTACGTGACGATAGACCACGGCAAAAACAATTGAGTAACAGCGGGGACGCACACACACACACTTTCCTTTGCAATTTAAAGAACTCCTAGAATATCCAAATTCAGTGGTGTTCCTCCCGCGCAACTAAGGCTGTGAATGTTTAATCAATGCAAGCTTCACAGTAACAGCATTAAAATAACAAGTATCATTTGTATTGACTACTTACGCTCCAAATAAAACACCGCCGAGATGCGCCGCATGATCAAACAGTCTCCAACGCAGCAATAACCCGAGTAAGTCAAACCCAGCTATAGCTAGGAGGCCCTGGGGACGAGAGAAAACGATACAGCACATGATATTCACGTGACGATCTTTGGGCCAATGACGCCAAGAGCAGTCACGTGTTGTCGCCTTAATACGAATAAAATATAGGAATAGGCAGGTGGGTTATCAGAAACAGGCTAAAAAAATCATCCTTAGGATTTCTTAGTTTGCACTTACCACTCCAGCAGGGAATGTAAAAAATGGCAGAAATACAATTGACAAGCGTATATCTGGTTGATTGATGCACACAAGCGATAAACACGCGAGCAATGCTCCTGACTAGGAAATAAAACAAAAAAGTGTTATTTAAAAGATGAATTGAAAGGTGTTCAGTCTGACTGTCTGTAAGTTTCTTTGACTAGTTGACTGCTGACTGACTCACTGGCTGCCAAATCACTGATCGAGGAAATTAACTACTGACTGACTGACTGAGTAATTCCCTAACAAAGCAACTGACTCACTGACAGGCCACCTGACTCACTGACTGACCAAATGTATGAGCACCATGGCTGATTGACTGACTGAATGGCCGATTGACTGACTGAATGGCCGATTGACTGACTGAATGGCCGATTGACTGACTGAATGGCTGACTGGCTGACTGAATGGCTAGCTGGCTGACTGGCTGACTGACTTACGGACTGACAGTCTGGCTGACTCTGTGGCTCACTGGCTGACTGACTTATGGACTGACAGTCTGGCTGACTCTGTGGCTGACTGACTGACTGACAGTCTGGCTGACTCTGTAGCTCACTGGCTGACTGACGGACTGACAGTCTGGCTGACTCTGTGGCTGACTGGCTGACTGATGGACTGACAGTCTGGCTGGCTCTGTGGCTGACTGGCTGACTTACCAGTTGACAAACTGACTGACAGATTGAGCAGCCAACTGACAGTGAAGATAACTTAACTTTACATCCTTACCGCTCCTAGGGAAGCACCTACACCCAATGCACTGGTGAAACCAATCCTGAATACCTGACTTATGAATGATGCAAAAACACCTGGAAAATATACATTCGAGCAAATGTCACAAAAACAATGACTCTTTACGGCCAAGTTTCTCACTTCAAGACTCATCAGTTGACTACCTATGGATAAGTTGGGAACTGTTTGTCACAGTATGAATCTGGGACATTTTTCATGCTTACCTCCGGTAATGTAAAATGCAATAAACTGTTCTTTGCCAAGAAGAGCTGTAAAAGAAATGCAACGTTTTTAAAAGTGAATCAAAAATTTTTGATTGCATTTTCCCAGAACATTATGGCTACTTTGGTGAAATATACAAGATAACATAAAAACTGTTCTGAAATTTGTAAATCTTTAAATGAATTACCAACACTGACAACCATGGAGTCTGGAAGTAGTGCAACTTCAATTATCTGACTTAAATGGACTGGGCTGAATAAGAACACATTTTCAAATTATTGTACATTAACTGTTGACATAGGCCAAAAGTATTCACAAAAAATTTATTACACCTAATCAACAACCTTTTACATTGACCTAAAATGTGATGTAAATCAGTTTGTTGCAAGCTGCATTAGGTGATTTGCATTACCATTGTTTTTCCTTTCAATCCAAATTAAACAATTCTTTTAAAACTCAACAGCTTCAGCAAGGCTTGCTAAAATGTGACTGATTAATATGCAAAAAAAAATGTGACCAGAAAAGCAAGTCCAAATAATCAAAAACTCCAGATAATCAAGGGTTGAATGTACCACACTACCAACCACAAAAAAAAGAGAGGAAACATTCCACTTCATCGTCTTACTCACCCTCTAAATGAGGTGCAAAATTCCAGAGTACAAACATGTTGATAAATAAATGCCAGATTTCTTTATGACTAAAAACACTTGTCAGCATTGTCAGACTTGAGCCTGGATATAACAGTATGAACTTCATCAAGAAAAGAATTGTCAAATACATGTTAACCCTTGAACTCCCAATATCTGATTGTTTATTCTCCACTCGAGCTTCTACACGTTTCCTGGTAAATTTGTTACGACAATTTGGTGTTTGATCAAGTATCAGCTTTAACCTGATAAGTTTGATTATTCTTATAACCTATTCATTAGATAATGTATGCATATAATGGAGAAAAGTAGTAAATAGTAACAATTACTGTAATAGAGTTTATTTCTGACCACTTGCAGCCTTAGGCTGAATTACAGGCACAGTTTAAGGTTGAAGACAGACGTCAACATATCAGGCGCCTCTGGCAGCCGTTTCAGTCCATCGATCTCACCTTCCCACCCATCCCACCCCAGGGGAGGACATCCATCACACAGTAATCTGGTGTGTGGGAAATTAATGTCTCCTACCCCAACCCTGCAGGAGACGGGACCTCCACTTATTCGTAACACATTAATCCCTTCTGGGATTCAAAGGGTTTCACGATAAGGTGAATTATATGTCCATTTTGATTGTTTCTGGACATCACCATTAACCACATTTTGCCTTTTGGAGGATAGATGCATAGATGATGTCACCATTTACAACAGTTTACATTTAAAGGTAAAACAAAAGATTCCATGTTGCTGTGAGTCTGTTCAACATTAGATCACAGATGATGTCAAAATGTGGTAAAATGTGACACGCTCAGCTGACCCTCATGTGCCACTTTTTTTTCTCACCACATTTTGACACTATCTGTGACCTATACTGAAAAGACACACAGCAACACCGAATGTGTAAAAAATCTAAAACTGACTTCTGACTCACCTGAGAATGGAGATGTTGTAAACCACTTGTACATGAAGAAATGTAATCTAGGTTGATACCATAACAAAAACACTGCTGTGTTTAGGAAGATAATTACAGCTGCTGTCTTTGAGCCTCCATGCAAAGAGTTCCACCATTTGTTTAACTAAACGAAAAAACCCTTATCAGTATGCATAGATAGATAGGTAGATAGAAACTTTATTAACTTGTCAAAGAACCTTCTAGTTTACGTATGCACAGCCCCTGCAGCCATCATCTAATAGGGAACTGAGGTCACGCTTACGTATGCACAGCCCCTGCAGTTATCATCTAATAGGGAGCTGAGGTCATGTTTACGTATGCTACAAGGAGTATTTGTTTAACCGTAAAGGGCTTCTTTAGTCAGTGATCATTTCCTGTATTCTCCTGACGTTAATGTTTGATTAAGGGATGATATTTGTAAGGAGAAATTAGATGCTAGACATTCTACATGGTCAAAGGGGTAACAGAATAGCTAATATATTCCAACAAATATAAAATAATTATTTTCCAATGAATGAATATAAAATTGAACACAAACCATATTGCGGAAGTCAAGTGACTTGGAAGAATAAGAAGAAGGCTTATTTGCCCTATTTCCTTGCACATACAAATTTCTGACTCTTTCATAATTTATAATTGAACATGTTCCAAAGCTCACGACTCCTGTCTAGAAATATGAAGGGAAAAAGTATGTAATTGGTAAATAACTCTAATTTAGAACCACTACAATATTGGACTATTTTGATAACATACAAAAGGAACTGTGAAGCCCTACAGAGGAGGGAAAAAAGCTATGAAGCCCTACAGAGGAAGGCAAAAAAGAGAAAGAGACTGACCTATCTACCCCCTTCTCCCACACCTTCCCCCCTACCCTTCTCACACTGCCTACATCTACCTTCCATCAAGGGAAGAACGGAGCCTGTGAAATGGAAAATTGAACCTGATAATTATTTGCAGTCGTACTAATCCTAAATGGTTCTTTGCACTCATTAATTTTGAATGCAGCCTCCTCCACTACAGTAATATTATTCATCGTAAAAGACTCGGGACACAATTTAATTTCTAAAAGGTTACTGTTAATGGAACACATACCAGCACTGTGAACCCCAAAGGCCGCATAATCATCCGTCATTTACTGACGTCGTCTGGTGTTTTAGGCTGATTTTCATTTTTTCCGGATGTTCTTCCATTTTGGTTGGAAGCCTTTCCACTCTCTTGCGAGTGAAACTGTCTTGATCTTGATCTAACACATGAAAACAAAGCAAGTACCGGAGCAATCAGTCGTTCCCAACGTCTTAATTTCTATCCTCTGAAAATAAAAAAAATTATAAGCACTACCTGGGAAAAGAAAACCTTACAGACGATGTTTTCCCACAAAGTTCACTTGTTCCGCGCCGCAAAAGAACGAACACGGCTGCCATCTTGACTTCTCTTTTCGGCACCAGTCTTTTCACAGACCAACCAAACACGGACAACGAGAGAACCTAAAGTGCTATTGCTAATTCATTTATTTAGGTATTTTTACATTTATTCATCTTTCTACCCACCTAGATGTCTATCTGTCTATTTTTATAGTATGAACTGAAAAAAGCACGAATTTTGATTGGTTCTTATCTATGATTTATTAGAGGACGGACTCATAGGTGGCGTCGCCACAAACAGCATTTTATCTTTTAGATCACAGATGACCTCAAAATGCGGCAAGAACAAAAAAGTGGCACATAAAGCGCTCTGATTTTCTATTTTTTTAAATAGATATATGTCTATTTATCAAGCTATTTTCATCATTTCAGTGTTTTTATTTCAGTGTTTTTATTCATTTTTTTGTATATTTGCTTTTCAAGTTATTTATTTTTTCCCTTCTCTTCGTTCTTTTTCTATTTTCAGCTTGTAGCTAACCCTTCTCACTTAGTATTTTTCATTTCATTTTATAACGTGGTATGTTAGTTTTGGAACCAGTATTTTGCCCTAAACGATACATGGATAAATTAGGTTGTTTATGTACCTACAAAGTTCACTCTGTTTTCATCTATTTCTTCTTTACAGATCTCAGGAAAGAGTAAAATATAATTCTGCTCAAAATACAGATACACCTCATTTGGGACCAAGATCAAAAACCGAAGAAAAAAAAACTCCGCACACCATTTTACTCTCCAGCGACCATATGTTTCAGATTAATCATGCTTAGATTGTGACTCCCGCTGCGCTAAGGGGTTTTTCATAATTAAAAAAAAACATTGACTTTCCATAAGAACGTCTCTTATTGTTTATTTCTTTTTGATATCTACCTTAAAAGGCATAAAAATAGACGTTGGGGGGGTTAATATTACGCACGGTACTACATCAGAGAGATTAAAAGGATATTGCTACACAACATTAGTTAAGTTAATACACTTCTTACGATCCTCTCGCGGTGTCCCACCTTGTGGAGGCCGATCATCCTAAAAGAGGGTCGTGCCCTAAGCTTGTCGGAGACTTTGTTATTTGTGCGTGACGCATATCAGATGAAAAGTGTGAACATTACGTCAAGAGCTAGAAGCACCGCCTGTAGTGATTTAAGACATTAATCGGTTCACATTACCAACGCAACCTTGAATGACCTTTTCAAATCAGTAGTTAGCAACCAATCACAATGTAGAGAATATCGTATAAGAGAGTGATTTCTTACAAATTTTCCAGAGTAGCTTTTACACACCCGTTGTAACAAAGCGAATTCGAGAGCGGAATAAAACAGTTTGATTGAGTTAAGTTCGCAAGAAGTCTATCCCAAGTACACGGGGCAAAGTTTACGAAAAGGTTATTATATTAGAAAATATGACCTAAGGACCACGGACGAGAGGCGGTTATCGATTCAAAGTGAACTTGTCGTGTAGAGTTGTGAGTGAAGAAAATGTTCACTCTGACAACTCAAACAAAAACACAAGAAAAAACTGAGTCAATGGAAAAATACCCACCACACCACTGCAAGTCAACACTCAGTAGGACTCCTGACAAGACAATCTATTTTTATTCAGCTCACGAACAGGAGTGATTAAAAAATAATTAAGCTCAAAAAAATGTTTGACATATATTGGCCATTACCCTCGGCGACGACAATGTTTGGTGTATTGTGCAATAATACGGAACCATTTGTCTCAAGTCAACAGAAGAGAACCCAATAAAAGATAATTAAAACAATGTGACCTGACGTGAAGGCACTTAGCTGTTTTATGTGCCGATTTCTTCTTCAAGTGTGTTTTATTTCGAAAATCTGAAGTATAAGCACTATAGCCACGGAAAAGTGTGTGTATGTATCAGTAGCACGATACTGGAATCTGTTGCCAAATTTCGCGCAAATGCTATTCGTGGCCAAACCGAATTAGGCCTTAATATCATTTTTCAATCAGACACCCTGCCAGAATGCGAGTGACAGCTATAGGTGAAGGACAAACACGTAGCGGCGGAAAGGTCGATACGCTAAGCTTTCAGTGATATGGGAAGGTCGCTCGACAAAGGAAGGTGACATGCAAGTGGCATTGTTCGGATAGTGTGCAGTTCCCTTCTCACGCAGAGAAAAATCCAGCCCTAAGAGAACTGAAAATAATTTCATACATAGAATAGCCGGTTATTTTTGCTCAAACTACGTTTGCTACACTATTTATACGGAGTAAGAATGATTTTCGGAATGAAATTTCTCACAATGTCTTCAGACATTATGAGAAGTAATCAGGTAATGTAATTAAAGTGTCGCCATGTCAGTGTAAATAGTTTTTTATCATTAGGCTTCAAATTGTGCAAAAAATAGATACGCAAATTAATCATAGAAATTTTGGTTTGTGGTTATTATTATCTGGTTTTTAGGGAAGATCTTCCTTTAAACTTAGATTGGTGTCGGTTTACTACTCACCGTGATACAGTTTGTAATAGAATTGACGATGTCGAAAGCACGAGAACAAACTGTAGTAAAAAATGTTGATGAATTTACACAGATACAATAAAAAAATTCTGTTTATGGTTTCCCAGCATCCATTCAGGAAGCCACTGAGAGAAGGTTTTCGTTTGATTTATGGCAGGAAAATCCGGTTGCCCGGCTACAAGACCCACAAAAGCGATCATTCTAAAGTGAGTGATAATGAAATATCGGATCAGCAAACCCAGTATCTTTCCGTTTATTTCAGGACTATATCTTCTTGTGGGATATCTAACAAGTTTGAGGTTTAATTATAGATCGCAACACAATCTTTTTTCTTTCGGTGAACCACAAGAAGGTTAAGAATTAACTCGTACGTTTGTCCGAGAACTCTCATGTCACACGACGATTTTTTTTTCACGTTTTGTATTGAGTGTTGTGAGTTCTAACAACAAAACAACAAGGGCCGGCGCACCTTTACTAATCATCGAACAATGGGCAGTGCAGTAATCGTATGTCTCGCACGCAGAGAAATTTTTAACAAGAAAGTAGGATTTCCGTCCTTTAGGATTTATGTTTACAAATGCGGTTTATTGGTGTTTACCTCGATTCACCTCAAATCATGTTTAAACCAGGTGCTGCAAGCAAAAGAAAAGCCTGATACTATTTTTTTTGGCCTTTTTGCTTCCTGTTACCAGTAAAACAATTACGCCAACATAGGAAACGTCTGTCAAAAAAGACACAAAATTTCTCAGCTTACTTCGTTAATTGGTGGTGATTAAAAAAAAAAAAAAAATCAAAGGTCATCACTATTTCAAAAGCTTATTGATCTTTAAAAAAAAAGTAAAAATCGCGTTAGTGTATTTTTCGTTATATTTTTCCAACTGCCCCGCGGTCCGTTTAACACAAATTTATTACTAGTTAAAAAAAATAGTTTATGTTAATCTTTTTTCCTGTGACATTTAACACGGTCCGCTCAGTTCGTTCCCTCGATCTTCATTAATGTTTTAGGACTTTGGTTTGAGAGTTTTATGATATAAGAATGAAGGTAGACCAGTGCAGAAAAAAACTATGACCGCATAACTTTCTTTTCATGATCCAAGTGTGTGGTAATTTGATTGGATAATGCCCACTGATCCAGCCAGGGATCGCCGGGTGGTTTGGTTCCTCTCAAGTTTTGTTAGTGAACAGTTTTCACCACTACTTGAAACCGCGACAGCTAAGGTGCAAAGGAAAGTGTTTTGGTTTCTAGCTTAAGACCTGAGACGAGAAATCGCAGGAAAAAAATCCGGCTTAATAAACATATCATAGAGGAAGACATGATACGATGATTACCAATGGGAATGGCAATAACAATAATCATGGTAATGATAATAATAATATCAATAATAATAATCATGGTGGTAATGATGATTTTACTTTTTACCTTGATTGTTAAGCACCTTAGAGCTTTTGGATAGGGCGCTATATAAATTGTCATTTATTATTTATTTATTATAATGATATTGGTTTAATAATAACAATAGTAATAATGGTGATGATGGTAATTATGCTGTTGATAATGGTAACGAAGAAGATGATGCTGATGACAGTTATAGTGAAATCATGATAACCTAATAGTAATAGTTAACAAAACGCTTAGAAGCCGAGTTGTACACGTTTGGCTTCTCGTACTTTGGTTATTGCATCTGATTGGATAAAAACCAAAGTCCCTTGCATTTCTCTGATTGGTTAACCTCAGTGTGCGCCAGTGTGTGACATTACGCTGGCACTAATGAAAATTTTCCCAACTTCAATGAAAGTAGTCAAATCAGTTTCGAGAGCAGATTTGAATAGCTCAGTGCACTTAAACACAAAAAATTGTTAAGCCGATCGTACATTTCGAAACACCGGAGGATGGTCTTAAACCGACCCCCCGCGCCCCTTATAAAAAAAGTTTGGGAAACTTTTCTTCTCTCTTAATTCTTCTTAAGATTTGACGATACTGGAAAAGATAATGGAGACCCTATATCCTTTACACTTAAAGTGAATTGAAGTAGTGAAATCACAATTTTATGAATCTGAAACCTTTCCGCATGAGGTCTGCTACTTATCTGTTATGCGGTTATTGCGGTATAAAAAATCACAATTAATCCGCTTTCTTGTCTGTTCTGCAATTAGCCCCTGGGCAAATAGTGTCAGTGAGTCGAGGGATTCGAAAACTTTAATCACGCGACGATTCCTATTTCGAATAAACACTTAAAAATGTGTTTTCCTTTCTTCAAAAGCAAGTGAATTGTTTCATAGTAACACGGTCATTGCCAACAGAGAAAGGATACTTCCGTTTCTTTTAGTCTCTTTTCTTTAAATGTCAAGACAAAGAGAGAGTTATTGCTGCAGAGCAAAACTAACCGTGATATTAATGCATTGGCTTTATATGGTAAGTTAAAAATATCTTGCGAACCCACTGCACAAGTCAGTTAAATTGTAGGCCTAAGTTTTGTAATCGGTACTTATTGGCGACGATGGAGGGTTCACGTTTAAAACTTTATCCTTACCATAAAATAGATTGCGTGAAGTGTGATTAAT